CCCTTTCTACTCTCTTTTCCTTCCTTCCTTCCTTCCTTCCTTCCTTCCTTCCTTCCTTCCTTTTTCTTTCTCTCTCTTCTTTCCGTTCTTCCTCTCTCTCCTTCCTTCCTCCCTTCCTTCCTTCCTTCCTTCCTTCCTTCCTTCCTTCCTTCCTTCCTTTCTCTCCTTCTTCCTTTCTTTCTCTCTTCTTTCCTTTCTTTCTCTCTCTCCTTCCTTCCTTTCTTCCTTCCTTTCTTTCTTTTTTTCTTTCTTTCTTTCTTCCTTTCTTTCTTTCCAGTGTTTGGGCCACACCTGGCAGTGCTAATGAATCACTCCTCCTGGCTCAGTACTCAGTGCTCACTCCCAGCAGGGCTTGGGGGACCAGAGGGAGGCCAAATAGGGCATCAAATCCAGACCAGTTGCATGCAAGGCAAATGCCCAACCCATTGTGCGATCGCTCTGGCCCAGCGCTTTCTTCGTTTCTGTGCCTCAGTTTCCCTCCCAGCCAATGGCAGCATCTACCAACACCCCTCAGTCTTTCCAGGGCTTCTCTGGGCTTCTAGCCCCAGCTCCTGCCTGGGGGTCTCTGGGCCAAAGGGGCTGCAAAAAGGGGGACCTATTGGAATCTGAATGTGGGGGACTGCAGCCGGCACTATCTTCCACTTTTCTCTGCCAAGGTGTGTGTGTGTGTGTGTGTGTGTGTGTGTGTGTGTGTGTGTGTGTGTGTGTGTTCTCTCCTTTCCTTAACAGCTTCCTGGGCTCGGGGCTTGTCTCAGCCTCATCCAAGCAGGAGGCCCAGAGCTGCGGGGAGCAGGCACCCCTGCCGGTACTGGCCACCCTCAGCACGTCCTTCTGCACAAGAATTCACTGTCCACCCTTCAGCCCATCCTGCATCTGGGAAACTCCCTGGGTGGAAATATGGTGCTGACAGCTTCAGGACCTCCCTGCCGCCCTGGGAGAGGGTCCGACTACTGTCACCCCCATTTGCGGGTTAGAGAACTGAGGCACAGTCTGCCTGATAGAAACCCCAGCCCCCGGCCTCTCCAGGAATTCCCTCTTTGGGGAAGTCCAGTGGGGACAGACGTCATTAGTTCAGAGCAAGCCGGAGCGGGGCAGGTGGCCCCTCTCCAACAGGACTGGTCTCAGGGGCCAAGAAGGATGACAGCCCTTCCAAGACAAGTTGTGAGGAGGCCCCGAGGCTGGTATGAGACGACCTTAAGCCAGGGAGGCTCCAGGGGACCAGGACGGGCCCCTGTGCCCCGTGTGTGACCCTGCCAAGGCTGGAATTCGGACCTGTGGCCTGCAGGGGCTCCGTGAGGGGCTGGGGCGAGATAGCACAGCGGGCAGGGCCTTTGCCGTGCTCACGGCCAACCCTCATTCAATCAATCCCCAGCACCCTCTAAGGTCCTTCGACGATCCCCCAGGAGTGGTCCCTAAGTACAGAGCCCAGACTAAGTCCTGAGCACTGCCAGGTGCCCCCCCCACCCCGCCAAACATAAGAAACAAACAGAAAACGCCAGAAGAACAGCAGGTGACATTCCTGTTCACGGACTGCCTGTGTCTGAGCAGACGCAGGACACAGAAGCAGGAACTCAGCCATCTGTGGGGCCGAGTCGAGGCTCTGGGTCCGTGGGAGCCAGCAAGGAAGCCGGCAGCTGGGCTCTGTGCCACCCCACCCCCCACCCCAGCACAGGCACCCAGCCCGGGTTGGGGGGGTCACAGGGGTGTGGCGGGGAATGTCCCCCCACTCCCTGGGAGGGAGGGACAGCGCCATCTGCTGGGGGCTGAGCGTGCGTTCCTATGGCAGAGGGAGGGCACAGAAGGGGACAGCAGGCAGGGCCCAGGACCCAGCTCCTGACAATGCACGGTCACCAAAGCAGACAGTAGGCTGGAACGTGGCACTCGGAGCCTATATAATTCACCAGTGCTGCCTCGAGGCCTTTGCACGTCCTGCCTGGCCCAGCGCACCTGCCGTACAGGGAGCTCGGCTAGAGCAGAACCTCCTGGTACCCCTCCCTCCCCCCCCCCCCCCCCCCCCCCCGCAGCCCTGCACCATCCCTTCACTCGGCTCAGTGTTCTTCGTGCATTTCCCACAGAGGTTTGCCAGCCTCGTCATCATTAGCTCACCTCTCCCAGCTGCACTCGGAGCTCCAGACTGCACCCCAGCTTCCGCACGGCCCGCCTGGCCCGAGGAGCTGTGCAATCAGCAGAGTGACAGGTGACCGCCCCAGGAAGTAGGGCCAGAGTGGCCCGTGGAGGAGGAAATCCTCAGCGCACAGGCTCGACAGCTCACAAGTCCTTCCCGGGAGGCCCTGGCAGGCGCTGTGGAAGGGTTCCCCCCTGCACTCGGGAATTACTCCCGACAGTGCTTGGGGTGGGAGGGGACCAGGGACCAGATTGGAGGGCGTTTGGTCATCAAGGCAAGCACCTTCCCCGCTGTACTGTCGCTCCGTTCCCTGAATCCTCCCTCTTTGATGAAAAAAACAGAAATCAAAGGGTGAAGAGACTTGGCCCAGGTCACTGGGTCAAGGGGTGACCCCAGGAGGCCTCTGTCTCTGGGCAAGGCTAGGGGACAGGGAGGGAAGGACCCGCGGTCGGTACAGCTCATCTAGACACCAAGGAGGTCTGTCCCAGGACAGGCCAACGCCCCAGCAGAGGTGGCAGGGCTGGGAGCTGGCACACCCTCCAAGCGGCCTGTGACTGCCCTTTGGGGACGGTGGGAAGGGACTGATTGTGTCGGAGCCTTCTCCATTAGCCCTGTGCCAAGATTTGGGGTGAACCACCCCTTGGCTCTCCAGGAACCTGCCTGCAGGGGAGGAAAACCCATCTTTCTCTCTGGGATGGCAACCCCTCACAGGGACACGGGACACGGAGGGAGACAGCGGAAGCCAGGCCTGCTCTGGGCCAATGTTACCCAAGTCTGAGAGGAGACCCTTCTCGTCACCCCCTGACCATCCACCACACACACACACACACACACACACACACACACACACACACACACACTCCTCCATGCAATAGCACTTCCAGCTCAGAACACTGCTTGGGGAACAGTCTAGAAGCCCGACATGGGATTCTGAGGTTCTCTCTCTCTCTCTCTCTCTCTCTCTCTCTCTCTCTCTCTCTCTCTCTCTCTCTCAGGGCAGGAGCTGGAGGGAGGATCAGGCTGGCCTGAGGACTCCCGGGAGGGACCTAAAGGCCCTCGGTCACCCCAGCCTTCCGGTAGCACCCCAGTAAGCACACTGAGGGTCTGGGGTGGCACAGGAGCCCCGGGGCCCCTCATTTAATGCTCCCCCATCATCTTCACAGAAATACACAACAAGGGGTCAGAGAGAAGCCTGAACTGGCTGAGCGCAAGACACGGGCCTGGGTTCAATCCCCAGCACGGTGTGGTCCCCTAAATACCAGCAGGCAAGAGCCCGAGCTGAGTGTGTGCACCCAAGAAAAGCAAACTACACACACACACACACACACACACACACACACACACTATAAGATGATACGGTGTGCAGAGTGTTTACACCACTTAACTGTCCACCCACAGACACCCAGTCTTCATTCTCAGGGCCGCCTGGAGGGGGAAGCCCCAGAGACCAGACTTAGCTCTCACGCCTCGCACCCCACTTGGAAAAACCAGTGCCTTTTCCTGTTTCAGCCCAGAGCGGCCCAGCCCGGCAGGGAGCTCTGTAAGCTGTGACCCCATCTGCAGAGTGGAAAAATCCGCCCCCCACCACCCAGGCCAAGGAGGTGACCAGGCATGTGGGACAGGAAGCAGCGGAGGGAGGGAGGGCGTGGGGAATCCTTCAGATGGTGACCACTCCCTCTCGGGGCTACCCTGGAGCACCGGGTGCTCACTGGGCCGGGTGCCAGAGGCCCTCCATAAAACCACGCCTGGGTGTCTGGCCAGGCCTGCAGCTCACAGGCCCTGCGCAATTAGCCCATTTTACAGATAGGACCTAGAGTCGGAGGGGGAGGCAGGGGTGGTGGTGGGGCAGACCCAGCTCTCCCCAAGAGCCTCTTCCACCCGGGGACACCCTGGCTTCTGCCCGGCGCCAGAAACAGGTGCATTCTGGGCTACTGAAAAGCCTCCCCCCCCCCCCCCCACAGCCCACACCCCGGAGACCCCCTACAACTAGGAAAGGCTCAGATCATTCTCCCAGATCCCTCTCGGCACTTCCCCCAATACATGACAGAGTGGAGGAGAGAGGAGGAAGCAAGATGCACCCCGCGGGGATTCGGAGCAGCGGGTTTCCAGTTCCCCCAGTGACCTCCCCAAAGGAGGGCGGGTGGGGCGCGGTGGGCGGGCCGGGGACCGAGCCGGGGGTGGGACGGGACGGGAAGAGGAAAGGCAAGTCCCTTATTTGCAGAGACGCTGCTGGCTGCTGTGGCGAGCAATCGGGGAGCGGCGAGGGGAAAAAGGGGGGCCCGCTCGCTCCCGATCTCGCTCATCTTCCTTTTCTCCGGGCGCCCTCCCCCCTTAACCACACAGGTGCCAGACAGCTTTTGCGCAAGGGTAGGGGAAAAAAAACAAAGTAGTTTGCAAACACACACACTCCCCGACACTTCTGGGCAGCCGTGGCGGGGCTGGGCTCGCGGGGCGAGCGACGCCGGGGTGGGCGTGGGGACCCGGCGCTCTAGTCCCCCGCGTGTCAGGGGAGCGCGCGACCTCAACTCCGCAGCGGCGCCCGGACTCCACGTCCCCCACGCGCGCAAGGCTCCCGGGCTGGGGCGGAAGGGGAGTGCAGAGGGTCCCTAAAACAGCTGCCCTCCCCCCAACACCACACACACACACACACACACACACACACACACACACACACACACACACACACTCCGAGGGCATCCCCCTCCCCTCGAACCCCTCCCCAGCCCCGGAGCAGCCGGAGCGCCCCCGCGCGCCCGGGTGGGAGCGGGGTGGTGGGTGCCCGCGCGCCCGGGCGCGGGCGATCGCGGAGCTCCGGGGGCAGCGCGGTCCCCGCCCCGCACCCCGCCGCACCCCCGCGGGGGTCACCCCCACTCACCCGCCGCGGGTCCCGCCTGCGCTCGCGTGCGCTCCCCGCCGCCGGGGGCCGCGCGTCCTGCTCCGGGCCGGGCTGGCTCCTCCCTCCGGCCGAGTGGGGCGGGCGCTTCCCGGAGGGCGGAGTGGGGGCGCAGTCCCGCCCGGGCCGGCTCGCCGGGGCTCCCCGGGGCGCACCGAGTCAGCCGCCCGCCCGCCCGCTCGTTCGCTGCGGGGCCGCGGGCGCCCAGCCCTCGGGGACCCGGCGCTGCGCTCGGCTCCTTGGGTGGGGGGAGCGTTAGGACCGCCGCCGCGTTGCCGCCCTCCCCGGCCCGGGAGGGAGAGACCCCCGCCCCCCACACATACACACACACTCATCCCCCGTCATATTCTGGCCGCAGCCAGGACGCATTTCCCAACGCGAGAGCAGCAGATAGACAATAAGATCCAGACGGTTCGCAGGGGGCTGGGGCCAACGGGAGAGCGATTGCGCGGGGCCTTGAGGACCCCCCGCCCCCGCCTCCCCCACGCCCCTTTGGCCAAGGCCTTTTTATTTCCCATCTGGAAGAGACACTGATTCTTAAGGAACGCGCCTGCCGCGGTACGATCACCCCACCCCTCCGCCCCTGCCCCCCAAATTCATTGCCTTGGCCGCAGAGCCTCGTGTCGCCCGAAGTGGGGGGACAGGGCAGGACAGGGCAGGGGGGTGTGGAGCTGCGATGGCAGTCGGGGGAGGGCGCAAACCCCCAGCCCCAGCCCGCAGCCCTGGGTCTGGGGGCGCAGTGCCTCGCTGGAGGGCCCAAACGTTTCCCTTCCAGGCAGGCGAGGGTTAAAAGGGAGACTCACGCTGCCACTCGGCGCGTGAGTCACGGGCACTTTGCAGATTCTGAAAGCCTGCGGGCTCTGAGCTTTGTTCTCTGCCTGCTGGGCTCTGTCCACCCTCCGCTCATCTTTCTTCCACCCCAAATCCTCCCCAGCGCGCTGCCCAGCTATGGGCAAACCAATCTGTAAGTGTTTCAGCCCCCGCTTCCTCCTCCGGGAAGTCTTCCCTGCTTGATGGGGCCAGGGAGGAGCCGCTGGGGTCCCTCCAAGGCCCAGCCAAGCCAGCCCTCCCGGCCCCCGGGGGCAACACCTCTGAGGAGATGAGCTGGGCCTGGAGATCCTAAAGCGGCCACTGCCTGTTGCCCGGGAAGTACAAAGGTTGGAGCCAGGTGGCCCCGCAAACACATTTCAGCGCCATGAGACAGTGGGATGGATCCTGGTTCCCCTGGGGCAGACGAAGGCCAGAACTCCGAGCAGCTCTCCGCCTTGGGGAACTGAATGCCACGCAGTGTGCTGGGGCAGGAGAGGGTTGGAGGACAGGCTTCCTACACTGGGGATGGCAAAAGTAGTCATAGGGACACGTAGAGGCATAAGAAAAGTTTATTAAGGAGCCAGCGAGATGGCACAGCCTGGTGAGGCCACTTGTCTTGCATGCGGCCAACCTGGGTTTGATCTCCAACATCCCATACAGTTCCCTGAGCATCTCCAGAAGTCGTCCTTGAGCACAGAGCTCAGAGCCAGGAGTAAACCCTGAGCACTGCTGGGTGTGATCCCCATTTCCCCCCCCAAAAAAACCCTCCCACATAGTTTATGAAAGAACCAGGATGCTTGCTAAGGAGGAGGAAGGGGGCCGTGTCCTGTGCAAAGACCTACTGTTGCATTTTTTCCCCCTGCCCCGGGGAGGAGAGGGTTACAATCGGCTCTGGCACTCGGGAATATACTGACGCTGCTCACTGCTCCGGGGGGGGGGGGGGGGGGGGGACCATATGGGATGCTGACCATCGAACCCGGGTTGGTTGACGCAAGGCAAACGCCCTCCCCGCTGTGCTACGGCTCCAGCCCTCAGTGTCCTGTTTTATGGGAGCTGGATGACTCTGTGACTTATTCCCAGGGGCCAGCCTGGTGTCACACTGGACAGGCATTCTTAGGAGTACTGTGGATGGACATCTGTCCCTTGCGTTCAATGTCACGGGCAGCTGGACCTTGTCTCATGGGAGCAGGAGCCTGCTGAGACCACCCCCACTCCCGGAGGGGCAGGCATGAGCGGGGCTTTGTTCTTGTATTGGGTCTCCTGAGAGATGTAAGCTTCCTATCTCTTGAGGGCCCCACTGGCTTCATCCTGACTCGTGCCTGGGATCAAGGAATCTGATAACCCTGTCAACCCATAGCCTGGAAATGGAGGTTTTTCTGCGCTCTCCTACTCATCCCTGTGTATTGGGGAGCTCCGGTTAATCCCCAGTACTTCCTGGTTCCTGAGCACTGTTATACACAAGCCCCAAACACAGCCAGCAGTAACACCCAGTGGATGTGGTCGAAAAATAATAAAAGTTAGATTGTCTATCTGTAAGTGTGGATAAGAATGTTCGCTGCAGTATGGTTCAGAAGAGCTGAAAAGTGGCAATGAAATGACCCGAACGTCCATCCAACTCACGTGGAGAGGAGCATGCACGTAGAGAGAACGCTGTGGTCTGTCCTGAGGGTGGAATATTACGTAGCCCCAGAAAGTTGAGTTCTAACACCGATATGGATTTGGAGAGCTCGGTGCGGAGCAGAAGAAGCTCTCTTGGAAAAGTGCTTCCACTGATGTGAACCTCCCCAGGTGAGACAGGTCCGTGGAGACGGGCGAGATGAGCGGTTGCCTAGGCTTGGAGGGGAGCGGCAGAGTGACTGTCACTGGTGAGCGGCTTCTTGAGGGATGATTAAACGTGCTCTAAAATTAGATCCCAGTGATGGCGGTACACACACACACACACACACACACACACACACACACACACACAGGGACGCTCAGAACCACGCTGGTGCACTTTTAAAAGGTGAACGTTAATGCCCGCAAACGGTTTCTCAACAGAGCCGTCAACAAATAGGGCTGGGAGAGCCAGAGGTCAGGCGATGAAGGTCAGCGTCCAGCCAGGGTTCACGGGACGGACGCTGAGTCTGGGCTGCCTGGGAGCGAGGCTGTCTCTGCAGCGGGCGGGGGCGTCACCGGCAGGGTGGGGGGGGAGGGTGCAGGTTGGGGAGGCTGGGGGGGTTGGGCTGGGGATTGGGGAGGCTGCTGAGAACCAACACCCATGCACAGGGCTGCTGCGGCCTCCTTGTACCTTGTTCTGACACATTGACACAAGCAGCTCAGGCCTGGCTGCCCCGGGGCGGGGAAGCGGGCGGGAAGAGGGGGTCTCTGCACAGCACCATGAACCCCCTAAAACCTGCCTCCTCTTCCTGGTGCTGGGGGTGGTGGAGGCTGGGCCCAGGTGGGCCTGTTCTTGCCCAGGATGTCGCCTGGGGTTCAGGCAGCCCATGGGAGGAGCCATAGATTCCTAGAAAGTCCCCTCTCACCTGCATCTGGCCAGCCACTGGAGTCCCTCTGGCCACCTCTTATTAGTGCTCTGCTCAGTCTCAAGTGTGAAGACTCACCGGGAGGACTCAGCTGGGAGCATTCAGCTAGGAGCATTCAGCCGGGAGGACTCATTTGGGAACACTCAACTGGCAGGACTCAGCTGGGAGTACTCAGCCAGAACTCTGGCTGTTTTAGGACTCAGCTCCCTCTATAGGTCTCTAGAATTCCCCCCCCACCCCCGCCCCCAAGGGCCTCCAGATGAGAGGCGAGCATGATAGCTGCCAGTGCCACCCATGTTTAGGCTCCTGGGCCCCCGCCTCTTAGTAAGGGAAACCCCTGACTCTGGGCCGCAGTCTCCCACCCTGTAAACAGAGACCTTCATGTGACTGGCTGGTCTCACGCACACCTCAACACCAGGGCCCGTGCGATTGTTGTTACTGAGACTTTTAAGTTCCAGGGCTGGGGTCACTCTAAGGCAGGGGTGCTCCCTTCTGGGGTCTCCAGGATCTCCTAACTCCAGCCCCAAATCCTTGGCGTGTGTGTAGGAAGTGGAGGTGGGGGTGAAGCCCAGCGGGGAAGGACAGCCCTGGCCCGAGGGACTCCTATTGGCCTTTGTTTTTCAGGTAACTGACCCCCATCTCTTTTTTTTTTCCGCTTCCTTCACCTTAGGGCTGGAGCGATAGCACAGCGGGTAGGGCGTTCGCCTTACAAGCGGCCAACATGGCCGACCCGAGTTCGATTCCTCCGCCCCTCTCGGAGAGCCCGGCAAGCTACCGAGAGTATTCGATATGCCAGACACAGTAACAACAAAGTCTCCAATGGAGACGTTACTGGGCCCGCTCGAGCAAATCGACGATCAACGGGAGGGCCTTTACCTTACCTTTTACCTTCCTTCACCTTGGGGCAAAAGTCACTTTCTGGGTGCAGGGCGGGGTGTGGGGATGAGCTGCAGGTATGCCGAACCCACCCTAGCCTGCCAGCTGGGACACCAGCAGGGCAGGGCAACAGCAGCTGTCTCTGAATATAGCCCGGCCTGGACGGTGTTTACCCAAACAGGCAGCTGCTGAGGGTGGAAGCAGAGCCACACCCCTGCCCCTCACCACCCCATCCCTACCCTCTCAGAGGCCCACATGGATGCCCTACCCAGGACCACCCCAATAGTGTACCCTTCTTGTTCCAGAATCAGAGCAGGACTGTCCTGGGGTTTCTGGGGGATGGGCACCAGGACCCCCTGCATGCAGAGGTCAGGCTGGGGTGCCCATCGAGGTAGGGGCCAGCCAGAAGGGGCAGGGGCTTCCAGAGGGAGTGGAGGGGTCCACCACAGGGTCACTGGAGAATTTTCTTTTCTGAGGGGGGTGGGGGACGGCACACCTGGCAGTGTTCAGCGGTTACTTCTGTGGCTCTGCACTCAGGAATTACTCCTGGCGGTGCTCAAGGGACCATATGGGATGCCAGGGATTGGACCCAGGTCGGCCACATAAAAGGCAAATACCCTACCTGCTGTATTACAGCTCCAGCCCCTACCTGGGGCTTTTCGAGGGGGAGGGATCAGGGCTGGGGCCACTCCAGGACTGAACCAGGGGCCTCGTGCGTGCAGGCATGTTGTCCTCCAGACTTTTATTGTAATTTGTTTGGGGGGGGGGGTGCTACACCTGGTGGTGCTCAGGGCCTCCTCCTGGTTCTGCACTCAGGGATGATTCCTGGCAGGCTTGAGGGACCATATGGGTGCCAGTGATCAAATGTGGGTTGGCCGTGTGCAAGGCAAGTGCCCACCCCACTGCCCTGCCCCACGGGCCCCCACTCTGCAGCTGGACCCTGTCTCAGCTCACTGCTTCTCTCTCTGCTCAGGGAGGGAACCAGGCTGAGCTCGCGGATATCCAGGCAGTCTGGGCCTCACAGGTAACACAGCTGCATGAGATGAGGCTGTCGTGAAGTGCCTCGGAGTTTTAGGACCAGAGAGATGGTTCAATGAGTAGAGTTTTTACCCTTGCATGTAGCTCACCTGGCTTTGATCCCTGGTACCCCACAGGGTCCCCTGAGCACCGCCAGGCATGATTCCTGAGTACAGAGCCAGGAGTAACCCCAGAGCATTACAGGGTGTGACCCAAAAAGCCAAAAAGGAAAAAAAAAAGCCTCCCAGTCAAAGGTATGAGTCATTGATTATTTCACTTTCATTTGTTTGGGAACTCAGAGACTGCAGGGCCCAGCGTCGGGGGTCAGCCTTGCGGTTTGAATTCAGGCCTCCAACCTGCCAAGTGTGTTCTCAGTCCTCGGATTTTCCCTGGATTATCCCAAACTGAGGCCATGGGCAGCCCTGCAACCTCCCCGGAAGGGACCGTTTGCTGCCCTCCCCGTCCTTCCCCCTCTCACCTGGAAATCCCTCCCCGAGCCACGCACTGGCCCTCCCGGGGCACTAACCCACCTCTAGGACCCTCTTCTCACTCTCTGCTTAGTAAGATGAACATCGGAGACCCAGCAGGGATTTCCTGGAGTTTAGGAAGTGGCAGAAGGAGGAGACCAGAGGCGGGAAGGAAGAACAGAGGGAGCACCCCTGTCGGGCCTCAGGCTTGGAGGGACTCGGACTTCTGTGTCGGGCACGAGAGCAGGAGAGATCGGGCAGGGCACAGGCTCTGCATGTAGGAGGCCGCGTTCCACGCCCAACACAGCCGGGATGAGCCCCCGGCATCCAGCTAAAGGTCGCTCCTGGGAGCCGCCCTGGTGAGCCCCCAAACACACACACACACACACACACACACACACACACACACACACACACACACACAGTCCTGGCATGAAGGGGCACCCTCCCTCAGGACACCAGGTGGCCGGGTTTGGGCCGAGTAAACTCTGTGACTTCTGTCCCTCCCCTGTGTCCACGCCGATGGTCCTATTTGCTGCCAGGTATGCCCTGACCCTGGCCGATAAGCGTCCCCGTGCCGGGTGTGTGGGTGCTTGGCACTTGGCACTTGGCCGGAGGACTTTCTCCTCATGCTTAGCAAGGAACTGGGGATGACATGGAGGGCAGCAAAGGTCAGGCCTGGCCCTGTGGGTGAACCACTAGCAGGCGAGAGTAGCTGGGAACCTGGGTCAGGCAGAAAGCGGGTGGCATCCACCACCTGGGTAGGATGGCTCACGGGTGACCTGTGGGCCAGCCTGCCCCCCAGTGGTCTGTGGCTATTACTGCATCTTTCCTGCCCAATTTTCATAGCAGTGTGAAGAGGAGGAGGAGGAGGAGGAGGAGGAGGAGGAGGAGGAGGAGGAGAAGGAGGAGAAGCCAGCTCCCCCTGTGACACAGTGCATGATGGATCCCAATGAGGAGGCGGAGGGACTCAAGCCAGACATGGGGGATGAGGATCTTTATTGTGAGGCGTGGCTGAGAGTGGCAGGCCCAGCCCTGTCCTGCTGGAGGTAAACAGAAGCCCAACTGACCCCACGGGGAGACCAGAAGCATTATTTTACAGACACAGAGCTGAGGCTGAACGAGGACCCTTGTGAGGACTGGACCTTGTGTGCCTGGACTCTCTCCTCTTGAGACGTGTTCCCTTCCCCCCGGACACATTCTTACTGAGCTACTTTGTTCGTGGCGCTGGGAATTGAACCCAGGGCCTTAGGTTTGCAAGGCCGAGGCTCTCCCGTAGAGTCACATTCCAGGACAGAACATACTCAGAAAATACTGTCTACACGTGGGTCAGGCACTTGCCTTGCATGCAGCCTACCCAGCACCCTGTATGGTCTCCAAGCCCACCAGGAGCGATCTGATCCCTGAGCACAGAACCAGGAGTCAGCCCTGAGCATGGCTGGGTGTGGCTCCCAAACCAAATAAAATAAAATAAAATAAAATAAAATATTGTCTATAAATCACTATCACTATCACCACCCTTGTTCATTGATTTGCTCGAGCGGGCACCAGTAACATCTCCATCCATCCCTGTCACGTGCTAGTGTAGCCTGATGGCATATTGGGTGGGGGCTTTTTCAGGGTCAGTGGAATGAGGACTATAAATGTCTATAAATACTTAAAAAAAAAGTAATAAATTAGACCTCGGGCCGGCCTGAGGGCAATCCAGCCAGCCGTGTGCCCTGTGTCTGGGCACCGGCCTTGTGCACCTGCAGTATCCTGTAACAGTAGTCCACATCACCCGCAAGGGTCACAGGCAAGTTCCGGGTACGGTCACTCCCGAGACTCTGGCCACGTGTGTGACACGTGGAGCCACCCACCCCCCTGGTGCCACCCGGTCCCAGTGGGCAGCCCGGGGCCGTACTGGGCTCCTGATCCTGAGAGGACCCTCCCGAGGCCCTAGCGGGACCGTGTGCCGCCGACTGGCGCTTTTCCAGGAATCTTCACACTGTGGCATGAGAGTCGCGTTGCTTGGCTGGAGCTGAAGGGGCTGAAGGCGGCTGTCAGGTGTTCAGAGGGACCCGGGGCTGGGTGTCAGAAAATCCAAAGTGCAGCCTGGGCTCTCGGCTCTGCAGATGCTGGGCCACGTTGTCGGGCACGAGGTTACTCCAGAGGCTGTGGACACAGAAACCGACATTTAGCTGGGCGCTGCTGTGGGGAGGCCGAGGTCCCCAGGGGGGAAATCTATAGCCCCCGAGTATCAGCATGGCTCCTTCCGGAACGGGTACACCCCCCTCACCAGCAAGCAAGCCCCCCACCCCCACTCTATCTTCCTGCCCGGTCCACACTTGTGCACCTTTGTGCAGGTAAGGAAAACATTCGCCTCCTTTCCTATTCCTTCCACTGTCTGAGACGCTCATGCTGGACCATGGTGGATCCCAGAACCTTTCCTGCTCTGAGAAACCCACAATGCTGATGGTGTCTCCCAAAGGCCGTGCCCCCGGGCCGGGCCCAGCAGCTCAGACTAAAGCTCCGTCGTAAATGCCGGCTGTGTGCCAGGCATCACGCCTGGTGCTTTGTAGCAACTACTTAGTCCTTGGGGCAACTCTTTGAAGGAGCTAAAATCGGGGTGCAGGATGGTCGACTCTCCCACCCAGGCCAAGTTCATGGCTCTCTATGAGCCAGCTGTTGGACCCCTGGAGGCGTGGCTGTGCGGATCCCCAGCCCAGGGCCGGTCACTCCCGCCCTCCATCTGGGCCCCAGTGATCCCCCTTACCGGATGACCTGCACTTGCGTGCCCTGAGCGAGCCCCTCGGCCAGGAGCTGGGCCCCGTGGGCTGTGATCCGGTTCCTCTCCAGGCTTCCGGGAGGATGGGAAGAGGAGACGTTTGAGTCAGGCGGGAGGGGCTGGCCAGGCCAAGCCAACATGGGGGACACGTGCCCTGCCTTCCCCCCCCAACCCCCCCATGGCTGAGCCCAGCAGACAAGCAGGAGGCGGGAGGGCTTAGGGCTTGGGGCAGCCAACCTGGAGCTGCCTTCCCAGGAGGCAGGGGCTGGCCAGGCCCGTCCCCTCTGCCCCCCTCAAAGCTGCCCCTCTTACTCGACTTTCTTCAGCCGGTGCATGAGTGGCAGGACCTGGGCCAGCGCTTTGGCCGCCTGGTCCCCGAGCAGGTTCCAGGACAACCTGCAGGGGAGGGGACCCAGGTCAGAGGCCAGAGGGCAGCCAGGGTGCCCCTCTGCCCCCATCACCCATGCCCAGGCGCCTTGGGAGCCAGATGCCTAGAGTGTGGGACACGCATCGTCTTCTGCCTAGTCCTACGGACCCCTCTTCCTGCAAGCCAGCCCCCCCCACCCCCTCTCCTGTCCCGAGGAAGAATCCTGGGACCCCTCTGACCGGACCCGCCAAGGGAAACACAGCAGAGGCCTGCCCCCTGCTGGTCAGAAAGGGAGAATCCCCCGAGGCAGGTGGTAAAGGGTGTGCCTGATTCTGCCTGGGCACCAGGAGGGTGAGCCCAGAGCTGCCAACCATGTCCCCCTGTAGCCGTCAGTCCTGGACTTCAGGAACAGAACTTCCTTGATTCATTGGTCAGGGTCCCAGGCTAGCCCTTGGTTCCTTGGTCAGGGTCCCAGGCTAGCCCTTGGTTCCTTGGTCAGGGTCCCAGGCTAGCCCTTGGTTCCTTGGTCAGGGTCCCAGGCTAGCCCTTGGTTCCTTGGTCAGGGTCCCAGGCTAGCCCTTGATTTCTTGGTCAGGGTCCCAGGCTAGCCCTGGGCAGCCCAGTTAACCCTTGAGACTGGGCTCCGGGGTCTGAGTGCCAAGAGGGAGTGGCCGGTGGGCATGGGGCTGCTGGCTGTGGTCACCCCTCACTGCCCACACAGGCTTCTGCAAGTCCAGGCTCCCTCCAGCCTGTCCCCCCCAGCGCAGGGCAGGGGTGAGGGGAGTTTCCTGCTCCTCCAGGACGGGGAGGTTGGATGGTTTGGGGCTTGGAGTCTGGGGGACGCTATGGGCACTCACAGGATCTCCTCCAGGGCTGGGCAGAGCTGAAGGCTGGCGGCCAGGGAGGGTGCAGTCTGGTCATCGACCTTACAGAAAATAAGACTGGGAGGGGCAGGAGAGAGAAGAGGGGTTTTGGCCAAGGGCCCCTGCAGCCAGCCGGCCCCTCCGCTCCCTGCAAGGATGGTGGGCAGCATCCTTGGAAATAGCACCCCCCCTCCGCCTCCTTCCCGGGGGCTAGTGTATAGGAGAAGAATCCCCAAGGGTGGGGACTGTGGTGGGGGGTACTTACTCTATCTGCCTGAGCCGTGGGAGCCCTTCACGGAGAAGCAGGAGACTTCCAGTCAGGCTGTTCTCGGCCAAGCTGGGGCAGGCGAGGCGGCGGTGAGAACAAACCCAGACCCTGCTGCCCCTTCCGGCCCCGCCGGCCCCTACTTACCTGATCTCCTCCATGCAGGGGTGCCCATCCAGGGCCTGGCTCAGGCTCAGTGCTCCTATGGGGCCCAGACCGGTGGACTGCAGCCTGGGGTGGTGGGGAGCAGGGGTGAGGACTAGTGCTCCCGCCTGTTTCAGACTGTCCAGCTGGACAGGGGCAATCCCGCGGAAGTGGCCTCAGTCCAGGCCTGCAAAGGGCTCAGTCACACCGCAGAGCCCTGGGCTGCCATGAGGCTCAGACAAGGCGATGGACATTTTCTGTCTGTCTGGGGCCACACCTGGCGGGTGGTATTCAGGAGCTCCTCCCGGTTCTGTGCTCAGGGGCTGTTTCCGGTGGAGCTTAGGGAATCAGGCAGTGCCGGGAATCGAGCCCGTGCTCGATCCTGCGTGCAGAGCCTGCGCTCGGCCCACAGGGCTGTACTGTCACGGGCCAGGGCAGTGCTGCTCAGTGGTTTCTGTGGCCCTGTGTGGCCTCACTTTGCTGCCCGCCAAACTGCCTCTTTGCGGATGAGCAAACTGAGACTCTGAAAGGGCAGGTGGCAGGGCCAGGGCAAGGCGACCAGTGTCAGCATTTGCTGCTGCTTTTTTGGGGAGTGGGCACACCTACTGGCACCCAGGGATCACTCCTGGCGGTGCTCAGGGGCCCTATGGGATGCTGGGGATTGAACCCGGGTTGGCCGCCTGCCAGACAAATAAATGCCCTACCTGCTGGGCCCTGGCCCTGGCCCCTGGCCCCTGGTGCCCAGCCCACACTAGCCCACCGGGACCCACTCACTGCAGGATGCGAAGCTTCCGGGACAGCCCCTGTGCCAGCGCCAGGGCGGTGCGGTCCTCCAGGGCATTGAGGCTCAGCCTGCAAGACAGAGGGGACCGGGAACAGCCCTGTTACGTGTGTGTGTGCGCACGTGTGTGCGTATGTGTGTCCATATGTGTGCACGTGTGTATGTGTGTATGTATGTGTGTATGTGGTGCATGTGTGTATGGGTATGTGAGTATGTGTGTGTATGTGTGTACATGTGTATGTGTGTATATGTGTGTGCACACATGTGTGTATGTGTGTTATGCGTGTATGTGTGTTATGTGTGTATGTGTTTATGTATATATGTATGTGTGTATGTGTATGTGTGCACATGCATGTGTGTATGCGTATGTGTGTATGTGTATATGTGTTATGTGTGTGTATGTGTGTCTGTGTATGTCTAGGTGTATGTGTGTATGTATGTGTATGTGTATATGTGTTGTGTGTGTATGTGTGTTATGTCTGTATGTGTGTGTATGTGTGTCTGTATATGTCTGTGTGTATGTGTGTATGTATGTGTATGTGTGTATGTGTATGTATGTGTATTTGTGTATATGTGCATTTGTGTGTATGTGCGTGTATGTGTGTATGTGTGTGTATGTGTGTGTGTGTGTGTGTGTGTGTGTATTGGGGGTTTTGGGACCCGCAGGAGACACTCACGTCAGCTCCTCCAGCTGCTTGCAGAGCGTGAGGGACTCGACCAGGTGGACGCCACCCACAGGGCTCAGTTTGTTTTTTGAGAGGCTGCGGGCGGGGGGGAGGGGTGAGGTCAGGCAGGACTCAGACCTGCCCCCGTCCATCTGCAGGGCCCCAAGAGGCCAGGGCCCTTCCCTCCCAGCCCAGAGAGAGGGCCCAGTCCCAGGGAGCCAGCCCTGCTGGACGGATGCCGAGGGCTCCTGAGGGGGCAGCGTTCCTGCAGGTCACAGGGTGGCCCCGAGGGCCCCGGCAACGGGCCGGCCACTCACTTGATCTTCCTGAGCCCCGGCAGCTTGGGCAGGAGGGCAGCTAGGTGATGGGCACCCGCATCTCCAATCTGGTTCTGGCTCAGGCTTGGGAGGGTGCAGAGGGGAAGAGCCTGCTGACCCTGTCCACTCCCAACCTACCCCGAGGCCCGGAGAGCTCAGCTCACCCAGCTCCCTGCCCGGGGGTGAGGACCCCCAGCGCCCGTCTCCCGGGCGCGGACCAAGCCCTTCTCCCCGCAGCCAGTGCCCCTGCCCCCTCTCTGCCCCCCCCCCCCCGCTTCTGGGTGCGGGTGACACTTGCGCTGCCAAGTGAACCCCGGGGAGGCCAGGGGTCTGGGGGGGGGCTGTCAGCTCACCCCAGCTCCTCCAAGTCCGGGGTAGCTCTGAGCGCCGTGGCCAGAGGGCAGCAGCCTGAGTCGCCAAGGTCGCCACTGTCCAGCCTAGAGGGGAGGAAAGACTTTGAAGGCCATGCTCAGAGCCAGACGGCAGAGCCCTTCGCCTCCGGGTGCCGGGCCAGCCCCTGGGGCCAAGGGACTGCTTGATGTTCTTCACGTCCAGGCTGATCCCTGGAGTCCGGGCATGGACGGCTCAGGCAGGGATGGCGGTACCCGGGGGCAGGGGTGAAAACTAAGACTCCCCCCGACCCCACCGCGGCAGGGGGCAGCTGAGGCTGAGGCAGAGAAACTCCTGAGAAAGGTCCAAGCCGACACCCAGGCACCCGCCCTAGGTGGGGGCCACTGGCCAGCTCTGCAGGGGGTTCCAGCCCCCCCCCCAACTTTGATTTCCCATCAGCAATTCCAGCAGGACTTTCCCAGGGACATTCGTGTCCTACCCCACGCAGAGGGGCCATGGCCCTGGACCCCACGCTCTGTCTTCTCTTTCCTCTGGGAGTGGGAGAAGGAAGAAACAAAACCGAGGGACCCTGCCGAGGGCTCATGTCGCCTCCCCCTCCCTGCGGTTTGCTTCAAAGGTGCATTTTATCAGGTGCCTGGGTGACCCGAGCTAGCCCTGCTCCCCAGACTCTGGGATCTCCCTCCTCCCTGCCCGCCTCCCCTCCTCTTCCTCCCTCCTCCCCTCACTCCTCCCTGCCCTCCTCCTCTCCCTCCTCCCCTCCTTCCTATTCCCTCCAACCCACCTTCCTCCCCTCTTTCTTCCCCTCCTTCCTCCCCTTCTTCCTCCTCCCTCCCTCCTTCCCTCCTCCCTATCTTCCACCCCTCCCTCCTCCCCATCCTCCACCCCTCCTTCTTCCCCTCCCTTCTCCCTTCTCTCCCCCCTCCCTCCTTCCTGCCCTCTTCCCCCTCCCTCCTTCGCTCCCTCCTCTCCCTCCTTCCTCTCCTCCCTCCTCCTCTCCCTCCTCTTCTTTCTCTTCCCCTCCCTTTCCACTGCATGTGTGTGGTACTCATGGGAACTGGACAGTCATATGGGGAAAGTACATGCTGTATGTGTGTCCAGGGGCATGTAGGGGCATCGAGGTCACGGGGTCAAACTCTAGCCCCTCCCCAGAACTGAGACCAGCTTGCTGGAAACGCCATGACCCATGGACTCGTGAAGAGAGTCCATGCGAGCACTTGGGGTGACCCCTTGGCTCACTTCTCTCTGGTCAGGTGGCAGCTGGTGGCATGTGTGATGGGCACAGGCCCGAGACAGAAGCCCCAAGCCACCTCCTAGGATCCCGGCCCACTCCCAAGGGGTCACTCACCGGAGGCTCCGCAGGAGGGTCATGTGACTGAGGGCCGGGAGGAGTGTGGCCAGGGCGGGCCTGCTCAGGTGCTGGTGGCTGAGGCTGCGGGAGAGGCCAGGGTCAGAGTGCACAGGGGAGACCCGCCCTGCGGGGGGCTGGGGCTCCAGGGTTCAGCAGTGCTCTATTTAGCCAGCACCAAGCCTACAGACTAGGACGGCCCTGTCCAACCCAATGGAGCGATGGCAGAGTGGGGACAGGTTCAGTCCCTGCCATCCCCAGAAGAGAGCCCTGAGTACAGAATCAGGAGCAAGCCCCGAGCACCACTGGGCGTGCCCCCCCACCCCCACCCCAGACTAACCAGTCCACCAAGAAACCCAAACAGCTGCAGCAAAAACCAAATGAAGACTTCTCCCCACCCAAGTGAAGCTCACGGGATGGTGTTTCCATGCTCTGAGTCGCTCCGGGCCCGGAGACCAGAGCAGCCCCACGCGAGCCTAGACTAGGGGCCAACACTGCACTCAGGGCCGTCCTGAGAGGTGGGTCTGTTACCAGCCCACTTTACAGACGAGAAACTCTGAGGCGCGGAAGTCACACACGAGATCACGCACCAGGAAACGGCAGCATCGGGGGCCTGGAGGGTTGGTGTCAGCGCTTAGAGGGCTCGCCTGCCTGCCTTGCAAGCAAGTGGTGATGCGTTCAAGCCTCCTGTGCCCTATGTGTGCCGAGCAGGGTCCCGGTAGCTCTGCCATCTGCACCCCCCCAGCACCATGAGTGGCTTCCAGCTGTATCACCACCGTCCTAAGATCCGCCCCAGCAAGCATCACAGTTCCAGGAATGTGTCAGAGCCAGACAGAAAGCAGGATGCTGCTCAGAGGCACAGCACCCATATGTGGGGGGCCCGGGGTTCGCTCCCCATCACCTTATGGTCGCCCAACACCACCAACCCCCTTTCAGTGCCAGGCGCCAACACGGCTGGCTTGGATCGTCTCTGTGCTTGAATCAAGCACAGAGAAAGGTCTCGGGGGGGGGGGGGTACCCTGGGTCCATCCGGGAGTTCGTAGGCTCATCCCTCACCCCTGCGCCGCGGGCACTTACTCCAGCCTCCTCAGCCAGCACTTGGCCTCTAATGCCTCCAGCAGCGCCTGTGTGTCTCCTCCAGAGATCTCACTGCTAGACACACTGTGGGGGGGGGGGTGCAGGGGTCGTGAGGAGAGACTCAGTCCAGCACTGAGACGCCTGCCTGCTCCCGCCCGCCCCCCTCCCCCCCGGAGCACACGCTCCTTGGCCAGCTAAGATGAGGTGGCCCCCAGGGGAGGGCCGCGTCAGGAGGAAGCCCCCACCGGGGACACAGCCCCTCGGCCCTACTGCCCTCCCTGGACCCCAGCCCGCGTGGGTGGAGAAGGCGGGTGAGCCCCTTCTCACCCGGCTAATGCTAGTGCAGAGAAGGGCGGGAGCACGGGGGCCTTGGGCCACACCCTGAGGCGCCAGGAAGAAAGTCATGGGCTGGAGTCCCGGGCCCAGGCTCCTGCCCACAGCCCGGGCTGTCCTCTCCCATCCCCAAGGCTGTCCCTGCCTCCCAGCTACTCACTCCAGCTCCTCTAGGTTGTGGCAGCGGCTCAGAGTGGACACCAGGGGGGCCAGGCCCTGGGGGGTGACGAAGCTCGAGGTCAACCTGGTGGGGGGTCAAAGGTCAGCAGCTCCAGCAGGAGCCCGGTCAGTGGAGGATGGTAGAGGGCAGGGAGGTGGGGTGGGGAGGGGGTTCAGGGGGCACGTGGGGGTGGGCCCTCTGGGACTCTCTCCCACCCTGGAGCACGGGTCAGGGATGTCCCTGAATCCAGAACTGCTTGGTAGGGACTTTGCACACTGGAGGGGTGGAGGGCTGAGGGTGGCCACAGACTCCTCATCTTCATCTAAATTTAATTAAGCCCCCCATCTCAGAGCTGGGTGGGTTCCAATTCCACAGGCATTGGATGCCTGCCTGGAGGAGGCGGCTGGTGGGCGTGGAAGCTAGCAAGCGCCACTGTGCAGCCACCCTACTGACACCGGGACAAGAACCGCCAAAGGCTCAGGGGGTTCCCAGGTGAAAGGGCGAGGGCGACAGGAAGTGTGGCGGTGGGCAGGTACCGAAAGCTCCTCAGCCCCGAGGGTGGCAGCAGAAATCCCAGTAGCTGACAGTCGGCTTCACGGAGCACCACCTGCGACAGGCTGACCCAGCAGAGAGGGTCAGGTCGGGCCTGGCCCGGGGCTCCCCACCACACACACACACACACACACACACACACACACACACACAGAGGCGGGGGAATGGGAAGGTACCACCGAGTGGGCCGAGTGGGCAGGGCTCTACCTGCTGGTCCCCGCGAGCCCCTCCAGTGCTCACATCCAGGGAAGGGAGATGCCAGATGCCAGGGCCTCTCCCGGCCCTGTTCCTCCTTCTTCAGCCCCAGGGCCCACAGCCTCCCTCATGTGACCTGGGGGGATCCCTGGGGCCACCACCCGGGGCCTGAGGTGCTAACCTGAGCTGCCGCAGCCTGGAGCATACCCTCCACAGCTGCCCGGAAAGAAGGCTGGGATGAGTCTCAGCCTCGTAGTCAGCCGGCCTAGAGGTGGACAGGGAGTTTCTGAGCCCACCCCTACCCCCCCCGCTGGGTCAGTACCGTGGACTCAGTTTCTGCCTGCGAGGAGTTGACCTCATGGGGGTAAAAAAATGAGAGTGTCCCAGGGTCTGTTCAGTGGTGGGAAGTGAAGGAGGGTCCCTGGGGGCAGCTGGGACTGCTGTGCATGTTGCTGACCATACAAGGGAACCCAGCCAAGGGGGTGAGCTGGGGCTGATCCCAGAATGCGAACATCCTGCTTGAATTCACACCAGGGAAACGCTTTATCCCCAAAATGTGCTGTATGGATTCGACGAGCATCGGTAGGAGTGACAAATAGGAGGCCCGGGCTGAGTCTGGGGGTGGGCTCTGAATGGGTGCCTGAGGGTGAGGGAAGAGTTAACTGAGTGAAGGAGGAGAGAGGAGAGGGGAGGAGAGAACATGTCCAGCACCCGAAGTATCTGCACAAAGCCCCGAGATCTGAGGATCATGGTGGGGGTGGTGCTGGAAGGACTGAGCATGGAGGTACTGGAGGAACTTAGTTCCACTTAGTTCCACTAAGTTCCACTAAGTGCTGGAGGGACTGAGCATGGAGGTACTAGAGAACTGAGCACGGTGGTACTGGAGGAATTGAACTTGATTGGCACAGAGACGGGGACACAGGTGGGCCCAGACCTCCCAGGCTTGGTTGGCAACCTTCCCCCCCCACACCCCCCTCCTCATCCTCCCCTGCCTGAGGCTCCGGCCCTGTCCCACCTGCAGGAATCCGGGCTCTCCAGGCCAGGAAACTCCAGCTGGAGGCGGAGCTGATGCTGGAACCCGTCGAGGCTGGAGGGGAATGGGGGGGTAGGGGGGATGTGAGTATCTCCTTGGCCTCCACAATGCGCTGTGTTCGGCTGCCACGTGGGAGCCAGTTCTGGTGTGGGCCCCGACCATGTCCTCTGCCGGAGCCTAGGTAGGGCCCAGCTGGCACCCCCAGCCCCCAGCCTGCAGCCATCCTGGGACCCCGACAACGCAGCCGTGAGCCACAGGAGGAAAGATGGGGGGCCCAGTGGGAAGAAGGTAGACAGCTCTGAGCGCCCCCCTGACACTCACCTTATCTCAGTGATGTTTCTTGAGGCCTGGGCACAGACCTCGAGTGGGACAGGCACCTTGGTCCTGTCCACCCACGGCTCCGTCACGCTATCACAGAAGAAGCATGAAGAGAGGGGCCGGGGATTAGAAGCAGTGGGACGGTGGGGGTGGGGTGGGGGTCGGGGCTCTTGTTATTTTATTTAATTAATTAATTAATTTATTTTTATTTTTGGGGTCACACCCAGCGATGCTGATGGGTTACTCCTGGCTCATGCGCTCAGGAATTGCTCCTGGCGGTGCTTGGGGGACCCTATGGGATGCTGGGAATCAAACCTGGGTCAGCCACGTGCAAGGCAAACGTCCTACCCACTGTGCTATCTCTCCAGCCCCCAGGCTGTTAAAATATTTTAAAGTAATGTTGAAGTTTTAAAAAATACTTTTGTTGGCGGGCATTTGTGGGCCACACCTGACTGTGCTCAGGGCTTACTCCTGGCTTTGTGTTCAGGATCACTCCTGGAGATGCTCAGGGAACCAGGTGTGAATCTACTTAGGGTGAACTGTGTACAGGGCATGCCGGGCAAGTGTCTGAACTCCTGCACTCTCTCTGCAGCCCCATCCTGTTGAGTATTTTTCAAAGGACTGTCACTGGTCACTGTCACTGTCCTCCCATTGTTCATCGGTTTGCTCGAGCGGGCCTAGTAATGTTTCCATTGTGAGACTTGTTACTGTGTTTGGCACATCGAATACGTCACGGGGAGCTTGCCAGGCTCTGCCGTGCGGGCGAGATACTCTCGGGAGCTTGCCGGGCTCTCCGAGAGGGGCGGAGGAATCGAACTCGGGTCGGCCATGTTGGCTGTGTGCAAGGCAAATGCCCTACCGCTGTGCTATTGCTCTAACCCTTTCAAAGGACTTTTAATTAATTAATTAATTAATTTATTTATTTTTTTCTTTTTGGGTCACACCCAGTGATGCCCTGGGATTACTCCTGGCTTCGTAATACTCAGGAATTACTCCTGGAGTGCTTGGGGGACCATATAGGATGCTGGGAATCGAACCCGGGTTGGCTGTGTGCAAGGCAAATGCCCTACCCGCTGTGCTATTGCTGCAACCCCCAAAGGACTATTTTTTTAGTTTCTTTCAGAAGCTCCAATGGGTGCATATTATACTCAGAATAAGAAGTTTTGTATCCAAGTGTTTGGGGTGGGACACTTATATCTGACATATCCTGTGATATCTCCCTAGGGGGCTCCAGGGGCCAGAGTGGGCTCTGTATGCAGGCGCCCAGGTCTCATTCCCCAGCATCTGTGGTACCCAAGCACATCTGGGAGCATCCCCTGAACTGTGCCAAAAGCAGCCCCCGTCACCAAGTATTACAACTCCCCTCCTCCACAAAAAAGGATAGAAAGTAAATTTTATTTTTGCAGTGAGGGGAGGGCACACTCGGCAGTTGGTTTCAGGGGTTACTCCTGACTCTGCTCTCAGGGATCACTCCTGGTGGTGCTTGTGGCACCATATGGGGTGCCGGGGATGGAACCCTGGTTGGCCACGTGCAAGGCAAGCACTCTGCCTGCTGTACTCTCGCTCTGGCCTTATAGCTGATTTTAAACCACTTCAACCAAAAATTAGAAACCGAAACAAAAAGGAACGCATGAAAATAAGTACAAAAATATGAACATATGTCAAAGTGATGGGCTGGAGTGATAGCACAGCGGTAGGGCGTTTGCCTTGCACGCAGCCAACATGGCCGACCCGAGTTCGATTCCTCCGCCCCTCTCGGAGAGCCCGGCAAGCTACCGAGAGTATTCGATATGCCAAACACAGTAACAACAAAGTCTCCAATGGAGACGTTACTGGGCCTGCTCGAGCAAATGGATGAACAACGGAGGACAGTGACACACAGTGATGTCAAGTGATAAGAGTATGAGTTATTGTCTCTGCATTATTGTTAAAAAAATTTTTTTTGACCACAGCCAGCAGTGCTCAGGGGCTACTCCGGGCTCAGTGCTCTGGGACGTACTTGGGGGACCATGTGGTACCATGTGGTACCTGGGCCTCTGTGTGTGAAAGCCTGTGCGCCAGCCCTTTGCAGTCTCTCCCCGGCCCTCGCTCTAGCTTTTTGGCCCTTTTCTCCTTTTTCTGAAGCAGTCACAGGGCACGAACAGACATACCAGGGTCTGGACAAGGAGCCCTGGGCAGGGATCCTTCAACTCTCTTTTGCTCAGAAACCCTCCAGCACGGCCCTCTCTGGGCCGCGGATCCTCTCTGCTGGGGGCGGGGGGGGGGGGGTCTTGAGACAAACAGACAGGTGGCAGGTGGCTCTGTGTCCGGGGCGGGGCTTTGGAGGTCAGAGGTGATGGGCGCCGTGACCCAAGGAGAAACCCCGCCCAGCCGTACCTGAGGCTCAGATGTCCCCGCGGCCTCCTCACCAGGCGCAGGACCGTGGCCAGCTGCTCCGGGCCCAGGTCACAGTGGGTCAGCCTGGGGACAGAGTGGGGTGACCAGGGCGGACTGGCAGGGAGCCCCATCCTTGGTGGGCCCCGGGACTGGACCTGGTCACTCACGTGATGTCTGTCAGCTGTAAGGCCTGGCTCAGGCTGCTGGCCAGTCTGGGCACGTGATCTGGCCGGAAGCTGCATTGGCTCAACCTGAGGATGAAGGGGCAGAGGGTGAAGAGCAGAGGGTGAAAAACAGAGGGCAAAGGGCAGAGGGCAAAGGGCAGAGGCTGAGGTCGTGGGAACCAGTGGCCACTTCTTTCTCAGGGCCTATGGGGGACTCCACAAAGGTCAGGAAAAGGCCAAGGAGGCAATTACTGCCCTGGGAGGTGTGTGTATGTGTGTGTATGTGCATATGTGTGTTTGTGTGTATATGTGTGTATGTGCGTGTGTATGTGTGCATGTGCATGTGTGTATGTATGTATATGTGTGTGTGTGTCCACGCTATGGTGTGGGGAGGAATAGGTGTGAGAATGTAACAGATGAAACAAACTGAGGAACGTGAAATTTCTCCCGTGCCATGGGGAGCCCCCGGGTGCCCCTCTCAGGGGTGGCCCAGTCAGGCAGTGGGGGACCGTGTGCCCAGAGTAGGGGTGGTTGCTCAGAGGGGCCTGGCCAGGGCAGCAGGTCAGTGTGGGTCAGAGTGAGCCATGAATGCAGGCGGAGTAAGACCCAGTGTAGACGCACTGGGTCAAACCCGTGCAGAGCGCCCAGGCAGGGGACAGGGACAGAGTAGGGACAGCCCAGCCAGGTGCAAGGACAAATGTCGCTGCCCCCCTCATGGGCCGGAGGGGAAGGCCCCCATCACATGCACAAGAACCCCAAGGGGTCTTGCTGTTCGTCCCACTTTGCAAACGGAAACTGGCACCGAGAGGTTCTGTCACATGTCCAAGGCCACAACAGGGCTGGGCCATCCCCTGGCTCCATGGCAGGGCTGGGCCAAGGGGCATGAGATGGTGTGAAGGCCAAGACCCCCGAGGACTGGAGGTGTGGGGGTGCTGGGGCAGCTGGAGGTGCAAACCCTGGCAGCTGCTTGGCCGCTCCAAGAGGCCCAGGTTTGCCCCGGCGTCAGCCTCCACCCCTGCCCCGTCCCGCAGACGCACCCCAAGTTACCTCAGTGTCTTCCCCGCCTCCTCCCGTGGGCCCACGTGGATCTGGAAGCTGCTAGAGCTCAGACTGCAGAGAGACAGCGATGGGACAGGAGCCTGAGGCCCAAGGGAGAGGGACCCCCACCAAGGAGACCCCACCGCTCCCTACCCCTGGTGCCCCCAGCACCCACACATCAGAGGATGAAACCGTCACATGGTCAGAGGGCTGCAGTGCTGAGAGCTGCTTCCCAGTGGCCGGCCCGGCCCTTCTTACCTCACGGTGGCCTCCCGCACACGTGGGCAGGCAGGCAGAGCGTGCAGCAGGCCCAGGACAGCTTCCTGCGAGAGGCCATTCCGACTGAGACTGCAGGAGAAGGAGGTCAGGAGGGGCCGGGGAGGGGGGGCTGCGGCCAAGAGGAGGGTCCCAGGGGCCCAGGGGGTGACACCAGAGCCACTGTCCCATGTGGCAGGGTGGCCCCAGGCCCTGCACCATGCCAGCTGCCCTGGAGGGACAGGCCGGGGGTGAGGTGACATTCTAGGGATGCTCTCTGCTGTGGGGCTTCTCCACGGCTGTCTCTCCCCAGCTGGGCCGGGGGGAGCATGGCGCTGGGGGCCGGGACAGCCGAGCACCCGTGCCCCCGCCCTCACGCGGTGGGCCCCGACAGTCCCTCCTACTGCTGGTGAGTGCTCTGGCCAGCCTGGGCAGTGACCGGGGAGGAAGGAGGCCAGGGGCGGGCGGGTTGCTCTCATGGGAAGAAGACCCCTTCCCACCACCCCCCATCAGAAGAGGCCCCTGGGAGCTCTGGGCCCAGGGCTGGTCAGCAGCGGTGCTGCGGTCACTTACTCCAGCAAGCCCGACAGCGGCATCTGGGGCAGGTGCGCCATGAGGGCCCTGAACCCGGTGTCTCCCAGCTGGTTTGCAGAGAGGCTGCAAGAGGTGAGGAGGCAGGGTCAGGGGTGCCCCCGTGGGCAGCGACTCCTCACTGTTCTCAGTCTCAGCTGCCCAGGCCGCATGGACACGATCCCCTCCATGGCCAACGCCACCTTCAGGCCACGACTGTGCCAGCACCAACCACGGCTACTGATGCCACCAGCAACCTCCTGTCGCTGTACCTCACCATGTATGCACAGGCACACAAGTGCACGCACACACAGCTGCACACATGTACACACATGCACATGTGTTCATGTACACTTCGCACAACATGCACACACATACACACACGTGCACATGCATATGTACACAGAGGCAGCACGCAGAGGTGCACACGTGTGCGTGCACAGTACACAAAATATACAATGTACATGCACGTACAGCACACATGTGCCCATGCACACACACGTGCACGCACAGTACACAGTAATGTGCACACGGCATGCGTGTGCAACACAATGTGCATGTATGTTGCTACACACACGGCTCTGCGCACACATGCCCGGTACACAGGCACACACCTCCCTCTTCCTGCCCACTCACTCCAGCTCCTTGAGGTCCTCACACTTGCTCAGCAACATGCACAGCGTCTCCACGTGCTCCGGGCTCAGGCTGCAGTCTGTGAACCGGCTGGAGGAGGGAGCGGCAGAGAAGGGATGCTGAGTGTCCCCACCTGTCCAGCGCTGACCCAGCCCTGCTGGTCTCCACCAGTGGGATTCTCTGGCAGGGCCCAGTCTCCTTTTTTTTTGTTTTTCTCTCTCTTTGGGTCACACTCAGGGGTGCTTAGGGGTTGTGGCAGTGCTTAGGGCACCATATGCGAAGCTGGGGATCGAACCTGGGTCGGCCGCGTGCAAGGCAAAAACGCCCTACCCGCTGTGCTACCGCTCTGGCCCCAATCCCAGTCTCCTTGGCTCCCCCGACCCCACCCGCTGTGGGCAGCCAGCAGGCACGTTCCTCAAGGGCTGTGCCCCACGCGTGACAGGAGAGTCCCTTTGAGAATTGAGTGACAGGCTGAGGGCTGATTCCAGGAACCCGGCTCAGACTGAAGCCGAAACTCTCAGGGCTCAGCGGTTCAGGGGACTTTCTCCAGCTCAAGCTAGAGAACTGTGGCACTGGGCAGGCTTGGGGGGTGGACCATGGGAAGAGAAGGGGAGTCTGCCCTGGCCGAGGGCTCTGCTAAAGCTGGCACTCGTCTGTCTTTGAAAGGCCTGCGTGGAGGCACAGAACACGGCCGGAGGAGGGGCTGAGGCCCGCCAGCAGCTGACGGTGAATCAGAAAATACTTGACTCCAGTTCCGGGCCTGCACTGCGGCGACTCCTTCCTGCTTTCAGGCCACACCGGCAGAGATGCACAGATGCACAGATGCACAGAACTGGGGGTTGGGGGGGATGAGGGGGTAGCACCATCCCCAGCGTGTAGGATCAGACCATTTGCAGGAGAAGCTTGTAGGTCCCTGGGCTGGAGAAGGTGCTAGAATGGGGCTCTGCAGGTATGCAAACAAGATGAGCTCCTGGGAGTTCGTCATTCCGCCACTGTGGTGGAGGAGGAGCAGCAGAGAAGGGCCGGGCCCAGGGTCTCTGCGAATGGGAACAGAAGTTCCCAGAAAGCCCCTCGACATCCCAGGGGACCCACCAGGCTGCCTGTCTCCGGCCTCTCCCCTGTGTCCAGGGCCACCAGCGCAGCCCTGCAGGGCTGGGACACGCTGTGCTTGCGACCATCCCCGATGGACCCTGCAAACACCCTGCCTGGCTGCGTTCCCCGCACCCACTGCTGAAGTTGAGGGGGGAGCCCGGGGGGCTGGGGTGGGGCTGGGATAGAAAGGTGGAGGCAGGGGTAGGGGAGTGGGGGGCACAGACTGGAGACCAGCAGACGCGGGACAATCCTGGACCCAGCTTGCCCGCACCCCCCACCCCTGCAGGAAATGAGGCAATGTTCCTCTCCTTATATCCTCTGCTCGGGCCACCCCAAGGCCCACTGACTGCCAGGGCATGGCTCCGGGGACGTACCAGTAGCACCCGCTTTCCTGCTCCTCGATGGACCGGAAGTGCAGGGTCAAGTGCCGTAGGGACCTAGAGCAGAGACCGCGGTGGGCCAGCCACCCCAGAGCACGGGGGCAGGACGTCTGCGGGGCAGTCACCTCCCCCTACCCCCGCCCCGCACACCCACTATTGTAAACCTTGAGGGTAGCCCCGTTACTAAGTGCTCACCTTAGATCCACCTTCTGGACGCGTGGGTCCAGGCTGAGGAGGTTGGCCAGCGAGATGGGGATCCATGGTGACAGGCCCTCTGCCAGGTTCAGTCTGACAAGGGAGGACAGGGCCCTGCGTCAGCAGGACGGAGCCACGTAGGAGAACCGGCCAAGTCGGGGGTGGGGGGTGGGGTGGGGGATGGGGGCAGTCTTAGAGAGGCAGGACCTGAAGGATGGGGTTAGCTGGGCAGGGCAGCCAGGCGACGGGGAAGAAAGCAGGGGCGTAAGATGACCAGTAGGGGCTTGCTTGGGGGATCAGGAGCCCTTGGAGTCTGATTGCAGTTCTGCTGACTGGCTGTGTGTCCTTGGATGAGCCACCCAAGCTCTCTGAGCCTCAGTCTGCTTGCACGGAAACGGGGTTCGTCGTAATGTGCCTTTCTCTCAGGGCGCTGGGAGGGTTTAATCGCCTCCTGTGTGATGCCCAGCATGGAACCCGTCACCACCACAGGTCTTGCTGATGGGGGCGGGACTTAGGGGAGGGGAGCTTTTTGGCATAAGCGAGATTCGGACTGGACAAGGCTTTGTGGCGAGGACTCCCCAGGCCCGACACACCGAATGCAAGTGCTAGCTTTTTTTTTTGGGGGGGGGCACAGTTGGCTGTGCTCAGAGGTCACTGGGGAGTCCACAGTCAGGGTCAGGGAGTGAACTAGGGATCACATGCAAGGCCAGGTGGGAATATTCATCCCCTCTGTTGAATCCAGACATCGGGACCCAGAAATTAGAGATGTTCCAACTCTGTTCTCTGTTCTCTCTCTGACAGGGATTAGTACCCTGTAGCTCTCTGATTTTTACCTGTTATTATTATTATTATTATTAATTTTGCTTTTTTTGGGTCACACCCGGCGATGCTCAGGGGTTACTCCTGACTCTGCACTCAGGAATTACTCCTGGAGGTGCTTGGGGGACCCTATGGGATGCCGGGAATTGAACCTAGATCAACCGCGTACAAGGCAAACGTCCTACCCGCTGTACTACTATTTTGGGCCCCTCTGCTCCTATTATTATTGTGGTTAATTTTGGGGGTATCCCTGGAAGTACTCGAGAATACTCCTGGTTTGGTGCTCAGGAGTCACTCCTGGCAGTGCTCAGAGGGGCCCAGGGTGTGCGGGCTGCAGCACTCGAACCTGGTGCACAGCCTTTGGGCGTCTCCCGGCTCTGTGCTCGCTTTAAGCTGTAGCTGTCCTGATGGAGGACGCCCTTCGGGCCCGCTCCCCCGGCAGGTATGGCCGGGGCTGACCCACGCTCCCCCCCTATTTGGTCACCTCTGAAATGTCTCACCTCCCAAGCAGGACTCAGGGGCCAACAAGATCCTGGAGTGACGGGGTCCTCACACACACACCCAGCTCCTCGGCATGGGCATTTCCGGGGCTGTTATTAACGGTATGGCTTAATTTCTTGTATTTTTCCATCTCAGCTGCAGCTGCTTGCACCCCCGCCCCCCCCCTCCCCCCCCCCCGTTAGGAGAATATTTAAAGTAAATCCTTTATAAATTCTAGCTGGTCCGAGCTGAATTTAGAAAGCAGCTTTGAATGCTTCGGGAGATGCTGCCGAAATGCTCCTGGTAAGAGATGGGGGTGACCTTTGGAGGCGGGTATGTCACGCGCTCCTGGCTACCTCTGGGAGGGCCCTCTCAGGACGGGGCGACCTTTCTGAGGTGGGAGAAGGATTTCCCATTCTGTGGTGGCTTTCCACCCCGGGGCCTTGGGCCAGAGCTGGGTGGGGTGGGGAGGTGCCCATGGAGGCAGAGGGCAACAGAAACTTCTTGCAGATCCACGAAAAGTCATTCCTGTTTAACGCACAGGATGCCGCGATCGTGCCGTGTTACTGTGATAAGCATTAATATAGAAAGACTCTTCGGGGAGGAGGGGATCGAACCCGGGGCTCCTACAAACACAGCGCGTGGTCCCACCCTGAGCCCCTAAAGTTTTCCTGAGTGTTGCTTTTCTCTGCAGCCTACTTTTCCCCCGCCCCCGGTTTGAGCATGAAGACTGACAACCACGGCTGGAGAGATGGTCCTGACCCCCCAACGCCAGGCGGGAAGTGGGGGTGGGGACTTGGTCAGACAGCAAAGCTGAGGCCCACAGGGGTCCAGTGACTGTCCCAGAGGGTGGTGGGAGGAGTTGGAGGCAGAGGCGCTTTCAGAAGGAGGGAGGGCAGAGAGCAGGGCAGAGAAGGGAGGGCAGGGGCGGGCCGGGCAGGACGGTGGTGCAGGGCGTGGAGGGCGGGTTACCGCAGCAGGCTGAGCTGGGGCAGCTGTGGCAGGCACTGCAGCAGCGTCTCCAGGCTCTGGCTGCTCAGGTCCTGGCAGGAGAGTCTGGAAGAGAGTCTGTGTGAGTCTGGGGCAGCCCAGGGGGCCCACGCCGGGGCCACCACCCCACCCCGACTCCCACCCTGCAGGGTCCCTGAGGTGTCTGCCTGCAGACACAGGAGGACTGTACTCGGGAACATGCCGGAAGCATCCCAGTGAGGGTCTTCGCTGCGGGAGGTGCAGAGACCCTCCTCCGGCTCTCTGGGGATGGAGAAGAATGGGAGGGGGGCGTGGGGGCGCGGGAGGGGGCAGCTGGAGGCGGCACAGGCCGAAACTTCCTCTACCCCAGCCTGGGTGTCTCGGGCATTGGGGCGCAGGGGCCTCCTCTGAGGGGCGCATCTGCAAAGGTGTCCCCCCCCTTCCACGCCTCCCCCCAGGCCCCAAATGCACAGAGCTGTGGGTTCCGGTTGGGACACGGGGATTGTTTCTTACTTTCTTCTGTTGTTTGTTTGGGCGCCACACCCTGAAGTGCTCAGGACTTACTCCTGGCTCTGTGCTCAGGGTTTTTTTCCTGGCAGGCTCAGGGACCCATATGGGGTGACGGGAATCAAACCTGGGTCAGCTGTGTGCAAGGCAAATGCTCTACCAGCTGCACTATCTCTTGGGGCCTTTGAAGCACTTTTATTTTATTTTATGTTATTTTCGGCATTGGCTATATTGTTACAAAAATACCCAGAAACAGCCCACACTCCCATCAAGCCTGTAGAGGGGGGCGCTTGGAGAACGTGAAGCACCCCCCCCTCCAAGTTCAGAGAAGAGTGAGAGAGAGAGGCATGGATGCACAAACCCTGTGAGAATCCATGTGAGCAACCTGCAGAAGCAACTGAACAAGGACCATGTTCGCATGTCTACCATGACAAGGAGACTTTAAGTCTGGGGCGGTTCTGTGGACATGTTAGGAAACAGAGCTCCGATCTCTTATAGGGGTTTGTTTTGTGGCCACACTTGGCAGTGCTCAGGGACTACCCTTGTGCTCGGCGGTCACTCCCAGCAGTGCTCAGGGGAGAATGCAGTGCCAGGGCTTAAACCTCGGCCTCCTGGGTGCAAAGCATTGTGCCCACCCACTGAGCTATCTCTCTGGTCCCAAGAGATTTTCTCTTCAGCGACACACATGACAAATCTCTCTTAGTTGAAATGATAAGGTGCCTGGGAAATTATTCCAAATAACATGTGTGGGTGTGCATATGTGCTCATGGGGTCAAGAGGTCCTAGGTAGATATTACCTGGAGGGAACTAAGGTTGCTTCTATTTTTTTTAAGTTCACTTAAAAAAGTTCTCTCTCTCTCTTTCTTTCTTTCTTTCTTTCTTTCTTTCTTTCTTATTGAATCACCATGCGATACAGTTACAAAGCTTTCATGTTTGAAAGTCATACAATGATCGAACACCCATCCCTCTACCAGTGCACATTTTCCACCACCAAGATCCCTATTATACCCACCCCACTTCTCAACCCACCCCCTGCCTCTGCGGCAGACGGTTTTCCCCATACTCTCTCTCTACTTTTGGGCATTATGGTTTGCAATACAGACCCTGAGAGGCTATCATGTTTGGTCCTTTATCTACTTTCAGCACACATCTCCCATCCCAAACGATCCCTCCAACCATCATTGTCTTAGAGATCCCTTCTCTATCCCAGCTACCTTTCCCCCAGCTCCTGAGACAGGCTTCCAACTCTGGGGCAATATTCCTGGCCCTTGTGTCTACTGTCCTTGCATGTCAGTCTCATATTATGTTATTTTATATTCCACAAATGAGTGCAGTCATTCTATTATTTTTTATGTATGTTTGGAAGTTTCGAGAATAAAATTCTTTCTGTTAAAAAAAGTAATTTTACCGGCTGGAGCGATAGCACAGCGGTAGGGCGTTTGCCTTGCACGCAGCCAACATGGCCGACCCGAGTTCGATTCCTCCGCCCCTCTCAGAGAGCCCAGCAAGCTACCGAGAGTATCTCGCCTGCACGGCAGAGCCTGGCAAGCTTCCCGTGACGTATTCGATATGCCAAACACAGTAACGGTATTAAAGGAGTAGGACGGGGTTAAGGCACTTGCCTAACACGTGGCACCACAAGGCCCCTGAGCACCGCTGGGGTGTTGTGGGTAAGCCCAGACCTGCAGGGCCCGAGCTGCCAGTGTCCCTGGGCCCTCACATCCAATCACTGGCCTGGGGGTGGAGATTACCCAGTGGTGCGGCCTCCTGAGCTCTGGGGAGCCCCTCCCTGCATGGGGCTTTACAGGGGAGAAAACAGAACCTGGGACCCAGCCATGGGCCCACGGTCAGTTGAGTCCCTAGTGTGTGCCTTTGAGGTAGGACAAGGAGGTCTTCACCCCTCAGACCCACAAGCCCCCGTTAGACCGTACCTGTCTGTTCTCTATCAAAACCACTAACACAGTCACGAGAAGAATGAGAAGGAGCCACAGCACAGCGGGGAGGGGTTTTTCCTCGCACACAGCCGACCCCAGTCCCATTCCAGGCATCCCATAGGGCCCCCTGAGCCCCCGCCAGGAGTGACCCCTGAGTGCAGAGCCAGGAGTCGGCCCTGAGCACAGCTGGCTGTGACCCCCAAACAAAACCAACCCAACCCTCCAAGCCCTGGCTTCCCACACGTGAAGCATGTATGTGCCTCTGTACTGAGCTATTTCTCCGAAGGGACTGTGGTACTGTGATGACCACCACGGCAGCAGAAGGACAAGGGGCCGGGCCTGGCACAGACACTGCAGTGACAGAGCTGAGATCCGGCCCTTCTGTCCGAGACCACCAGCCCCCTGCTGTCCAGGGCAGCCCCTGCTGGTGGGTCAGCTGCTCTGGGTGGAGTGAGGGTCCCCAGGAGGGGCTTTTTGTAGTGGGCTCCCAGCCAGCACGGCAGGCCCGGGTGGGCAGCCGGGTTGGGGCTCCAGGGCCCCAAGGCACAGGGACGGGAAGGTGAGGCCCTTAGGCAGGAGCGGGGAAGTATCTGAGCTGGGACACCAGAACCTTCGACTCAAGGTCCAGGGATTCCCCCATGGGGCAGTGGGGTTGGGGGCTGCGGAGTGGGCCAGGAAGAGATAACAGTTGCCCCTTCTGGGGTGCTGGACAGGCGTGCAGGCAGCCCCTCCTTCCTACCTGACCTCCAGCGGCCCTGGGCACGGCTCCAGAGCTTCACACAGAAGGCGTAGGTTGGAGGGCTCCAGGCGGCACTCCTCGAGGCTGCGGGCAGGCGGGTGGTCAGAAAGGCCCCCTCAAAGCCCCCCCCCCGCCAGCCCCTCCAGTACACCAGCTGAGTCCCACCCTCCCCGCAGCCTCCAGCCCCTCCCTGCAAGTCGCTGCGCTCACCCGCCCACTCCACTCTGCCCCCATCATCCTCCCTGCAGGGCAGGCTGACTCCCCCTCCTCTGTGGAAAGCGCCCCTGACACCCAGTGCCCCATAGGCCGATGGGGATGGATCTGCCCTGCCTTGCACTGGCCCTCGCCTGCCCCCACAACACAGCACACTCGTTCCTGGGGCCTCTGCACGCGGAAAGGACCCTCCCACCCATCCCCCAGGACCCTCCCACCCATCCCCCAGGACCCTCCCATCCCCCAGGACACCCTGCTAGGGCCAAAATCCTCAAGGGGACCTACAGGGTGCCAGGGTCCCAGAGCACAGCTGGGCTCTCTCTCGGGGCTCCTGCCCCCTCTCCTGGTTCTCTTCCCTCTCCCCAGCACCCCGACCCCTTCCCTCTCCCCAGCTTCCCGGTGTGTAGGTTCCTGACCCCCACCCTAGTCTTCCAGGTGTGCCTCCCACCCCCCACCCCAGGGGATGCCCCAAGCAGCCAGGGCTGAGACAGTACCAGAAGCTCCTGGGGACACCAGAACTGAGCCTTGCGCCCTGGGTGCCGATTGGGAGCGCTGACCAAGATCGAGCAGCCTCGGCGGGGCTCCTGGGGGAAGAGGAGGCCGTTTGCTCTAACCTCAGCGTGTGCTTTGGAGGATCCGCCCGTGAACTCGAACTCGGGGCTGGATGGGGCCCTAGAGGCTGAACCTCCAAGTCCCAGGCCAGCAGGGGGCGGGGAGGAGTGAGAAGCTTGTGGGGACCCTGGCCGGGGGAGCAGGACGTGGCCCCTCCACCATCTCTGTCCCCCGTAACTCATGGGCCCTTGATTCTTTTGGGTTCCAGCACCCAGAATGTGCCCCGGCATGGAGACTGAGCCAGAAGCAGGCCCAGCCATTCCCAGGTCTCCGCTGACCCTCGACACGTGGACGGGGAACTGACTCTTCCCTGTGGGGGTCACCAGGCCACCCTCTGAGATTTCCACCTCCATCCCCATGCCCAGGCCACCAGGACACCCCTAGGGGCCACTGAGAACTAACTGCTGTTCACAGTTGCCAGTTGAGAGCTTTCCAGAAGGTCAGTGACTCCTGGCTCTGCCACCGTGGCACTAGGAAGGTGAAGGGCGGCACCTGAGGAGCCTCCTGGCACCCCTGGGGTCCAGTGCCCCCCTCAGGACCCCTGCTCTCCTCTCACCCCACCAGCGGTGGGATCAGCTCCTGGGCAGGTAACCTGCGGGCTACAGGGGTCATTACAGACCCGGGGGAGGGGGCAGAGGGCTCTGCAGGAAAACAGGACCCGTGCCCCCCAGCAGCCCCTGCCCCCCAGGACCCTCTGTCCTCACCTGTCTCTTCTGTCCCCTCTCAGGATGACGCGTTGGCTCTCGAGGCTGCGGGCAGAGAGAAGGCGGCAATGAGAGAGCAGAGCACTCGCCTCTTGGCACACCCAACCCCGGCATCGGCCTCAGCAACACGGCAGTGAGTGGATGAAGCAGAAGATGAATGAATGATCATGGCAGAACTAAAAAATCACAGCAGAGAATGATCACAGCAAAACTGGCCAACACGATGTGGAATTCATGCCCAATTCAATCAGCCTAATCAATGGCTGAATAAATAGCAATACTCCTACATTAAAAAAAAAAAAAACGGCCAACATGGTGGTGAATGAATGAAGCATAACCAGCCAGCATGCAGTGAATGAATGAAGCTGAACCAGCAAACACGGAGGTGAATGAATGAAGCTGAACCAGCAAACTCGGTAGTGAATGAATGAAGCTGAACCAGTCAGCATGGCGGTGAATGAATAAAACAGAATCAACTAGCATGGTGGTGAATGAATGAAGCTGAACCAGCAAACACAGCAGTGAATGAATGAAGCTGAACCAGCCAGCACAAGTATGAGTGAATGAAGCAGAACCAAGCAGCATGGTGGTGAATCAATGAAGCTGAACCAGCCAGCATGGCAGTGAATGATGCCACAGAACCAGTTATCAGGGCACTGACAAAGCTTGCTCCAGATGCCATCTCTGACTTGTGCAATTAACCTGGGGGGTCAGGAAGAATTCTCTCCCCCACCCCACCCCCCGGTCTACACGGAATGGCAGGGAGAAGTGACTCAGGGACCTGTTTATAGCAGGTTCGGGGGCCTGGATCTGAAGCTGGTCAGTGTGCTAGAACCCAGCCATCCTCGAAGCTGCTGGGCAGGGCAGGTTGGACGGCTACACTTGGCTGGCCCAGGATGGCGTGTCCACGCCCAGCTGAGCAGCTGGTGCTGTTCCTTCTCCACTTAATCTGTCCCAGAGCCCCCCGCCCCCCCACCATTCACACCAATCAGGACCAGGTCGGGTGGGGCCCTGAGAACTTCCTGGCTCCCAGAGGATCCAAATTCTCTTTAAGTCCCTGAGGATATGGGTGCAGAGAGCTAGCTCAAAGGGCTGGAGCTCATGAAAGGCACGCAGAAACCCCAGGTCCATCCAGGCTTCCTGGACCCCCACGTGCTTCCAGGAACAACTGCTGAGCAACGGGCCAGGAGCCAGTCCTGAGCTTATGGGGTATGACCCCAAACCCAAACCCATACTAAGTGTTCCAGGCCAATGGAGAGAATTAAGGAGTGTTGACATGGTCCAGAGTGAATCTGGAGAAATGTGAGTATCCCTGGGTACATCTATTCATTTATTCATTTAATTTTTCTGGAGGGGGCCACACCCAGAGGTGCTCAGGAATTACTCCTGGCTCTGTGCTCAGGGATCACTCTTGGCAGGTTCGGGGGCCATCTAGGATGTCAGGGAAGGAATCTGGGCCGGCTGCATGCTGGTAAACACCGTCTCGCCTGTGCTCTCGCTCCCACCCCTCCGTTGATGTTTTGTTTGTTCGTTAGTTAGTTCCTTGTCTCTGCAGACACCCCTTCCTTTCCCACTGAGCCCCGACATTTCAGGCCCCCAGTTCTTCCTCACAGTGAAGGTGGCAGATGAGGGACCCTGGTGGGCTAATGACCTGTGGTACCAGGGAGAGGGGCACACTCACCCGATGTCTAAGAGGAGAGGCCACTGCAGAGTGGAGAAGCACTTGGTCAACTTGAGCACGGCTTCCAGTGACATGTTGTTCTCGCTGAGACTGGCAGGACACAGGGGTGATGCTGGGGCGCCACCAGGACTTTGGGCCACTCCCTCTGTGGTCACCCCTGACGCCACACGCTGGGAGCCCCCAGATGGGCAGGGAGTACCAGCTCTGACTCTTCATTGTACAGATGGGTAAACTGAGTTCAGGAGAGGCAAGGTCTCGCCTGAATCATGACACATGATGGGGCCAGGATGGAGACGAGAGCTCCCTCTGTCTGTGATGAGTCTGGGGAGCACTGTGCTTTGGGGAAAGGCAGAGCCATGCCTCAGTTTCCCAGCCTGACAAAGGTGGGGTGTCCAGTGCCAAGTGAAAATGTGAAGCCTCTTATTCAAAAAGCGGGAATGAGAGCTGGAGTGCAGTGGGTAGAGCTCCCACCTTGCATGCATTTGACCTGGGTTCGATCCGGGGTTGACCCCTGAGCACAGGAACAGGAGTGAGCTCTGAGTACAGAGCCAGGAGTAAGCCCCTGAGTACAGAGCCAGGAGTAAGCCCTGAGCACAGAGGCAGGAGTGAGTCCTGAGCACCAAGCCAGGAGTGAGCTCTGAGCACTGCTGGGTATTGTCCACTCCTCAAAAAAAAAAAAAAAGTGGGAACGAAGCTGTGTCCTTCTTTTGTGCTGTCCGTCTGTTCCGGGTGGGTTATTTTCCCCCTTTTAGGTATTTTGGCTACACCTGGCAGGGCTGAGTGCTTCCTCCTGGCTCTGGACTCAGGGGTCACTCCTGGAGGAGCTTAGGGGCTGAGATGTGGTACTGGGGATGGAGCTGCGGTCGGTCACATGCGTCGGTGAGGGCTAACCTGGCAATATCTGCTCTTTGGTAGGGTAGGTTTGTCTGCAAGCACAAACCCCAGAGCCTCACCCAGCGTGAGGCAAGCACGCTGCCTTGACCCACACCCAGCCCACATCCCGTTTGCTATTGCTGGCCATCCCAGTGCAGGACCCGACTGGTGAGGGCCGACCTTCCTCGGGGTCAGGGCCAGCTCCCACCTGCAGACAGCTGCCTCGGACCACAGGCTCACTGAAACCACAGTGACCTCTCTGCAGCCCCACACCCTTGGACCCAACCAAGCCAAGTTGAGCATCCCTCGACCCCACACACACAGAACCCGAAGGCTGTGGTACTGAGCTGACGTGGGGGTGTTACAAAGATTATCTGCAGACTGGGGCTGGAGCAATAGCACAGTGGGGAGGGTGTTTGCCTTGCATGTGGTCAACCCGGGTTCCATTCCCGGCAATGCATATGGTCCCCTGAGCACTGCCAGGAGTAAGTTCTGAGTGCATGAGCCAGGAGCAACTCCTGTACATTGCTGGGTATGACCCAAAAAGAAAAAAAAATTATCCGCAGACCTTCAGTGGCTCAGAGCAGGCTCCTCGCCTCGTCAGCCAGGACTCAGCCCGAGTTTTGCTCTTTGTCAGCCCTGCTCAGGCCTTCCCCCCGGGCAGACGGTGAGGACTAGCCAGCAGTCCCCTTCCCGGCACCCCAGGAGACCAAGGGCCTCAGCCAGGAAACCAGTCCCTGGCCCCACTCCAGTCGGAATGAGCAGAAACTAGGGGCTCATGCAGCACGCTCAGGAATTGGCTCCTTGCTGATCCCCGCAGATTCTGACCCCGAAGGAGCTCGGGAGCAGAGGGGCCAAGTGGGCGCCCAGGGTACTGGGAGCTGTTTGGGGCCCAGGAACTTTGGTGCTGCAGGCTGAGTCTGGCACTCCTGGCCCTCTTCCAAGGGCCCCTCCCAGTACTGATCGTCCTCTGTTTCTTGGCCAGGTCCTGGGGCCCCGGGCTGCCCTGGGCCCTCCCAGGGTCCCATCTGGTGCAAACCTTCCTGCCCAGCCAATAGACCCTCCCCACGCCCCAAGGCCATCGAGCCCCCACATGGCACGAAACACCCAATACTCCCCACCAGGGTCTGACCCGCCCCAGTGACCACCCCCAAGGGCTGCACAGACACACGAACCAGACCGGCAGGAGTGTGGGCCCTACACCCAGCTAGTGGGACCCCACCCCAGGGCCAGGCTCTGGGCCACAAGAAGCCGGAACCGCCGCTGCCCAGGACAGCCTGGAGGCAGCAGGAGGTCACGCGCTGCCCCTCCTCCTCCTTGCATCGGGCACCGGGATTCACCACACACTGTCATGGCAGCTCAGGGTCCCCGCACCACAGCCACCGCCACTGACACAACCCTCCACCCAGGCCTCCCCACGCTGGCCTTTCTGATCCAGTCTATACCACAGCCCCAAGGGAGAGACGAACAGAGCTTAGACATGTGCGCACACACACACACACACACAACACACACTCACACACACACATACAACACACACTCACACATACAACACAGACTCATGCATTCAACACACACATATACTCACACACATACACACTCCCACACATACACATACATGCATATACACATCCACACACATGCACACACGCACACACACACGCAAACACACTCACACATATAACACATACTCACACACATATACACTCACACATACACATACATGCATATACACATGCACACATTCACACATAGACCCACAATACACACTCATACACACATCCATACTCACACACATGCATACATGCACACACTCACACATACACACTCACACACAACACATACATGCATACAACATACACACATACATAGTCATATACACACTCACACACATGCATACACACGCACACAAACTCACACATACAACACACACAACACACAAATATACTCACACACACAATACACATGCACACACGCACGATGCACGTGCACACACACATACACTCACACATGCACATATACATGCATACACACATTCATCCACATTCACACATGCATGCACACTCACCCACATTCACACACATACATGCATACACACAAGCATACACACATATATACATATACACATGCACACACATACACACAAACACACATACACATAAGCACACTCACACCCACTCTCATACATTTATACACACATATGCACACACTCACACACTCATACATCCCCACACATACACTCACACACACATAAACACATTCACACACACATACACTACGCACCCATTCTCTCATACTCTCACATACTCAGATGCACATTCATACCCTCACACACAGTCACACACAAACATACTCCCTCTCCCCCCCCACGCACATGCTCAAACACACTCAAACACACAAACCCCCTCAAGCCCACGAGGCCATGTCGGGGTGTGGCCCTGTGATACTCACTCCAGAGAGCTCAGGGGGCCCAGGCCCGGGAGCAGCTGGACCAGCTGGACGGCACCTTCATCCCCCAGAGCGTTGCTGGAGAAGCTGGGGGGAGGGGAGCAGGTGAGCAGCAGGTGGGGTGGGGTGGGGTGGGCAGAGACCCTCCATCCCATCCCCACCCCACTGCCTCTCACTCCGTCACTTCCGCACACAACCCGGGACTGCCTGGCCAAGGCCTGCTGCCCACCAGGGCCCGGGGTGCCAAGTGTGGGGGACCCCAGCATTTGTGGGAACAGTGACAGCCTCCATGAGGGGGTCGACGGGGCTGCCCATCTGGCGAGGAAACAGCTGCAGAGTCGAGCCCCTGGACCCCCGACTCAAACCTCCTGACTCCCCCTCCCCGAGCCCCACCCCTGGGCGTCCAGGGACCCCGGCACTCACTCCAGGTGACCCCAGCTGCAGCCTCTTCCCAGAGCCTTGCACAGCTGTCCTAGGTGTTTAGCCTGCAGGCCACAGTGTGCCAACCTGGGGGGGGGGGGTGGGCAGAGGTCAGTGCCTGCTCGGGAGCCAGGGGCCGGCACTCCCCAGACAGGTGGAGCGAGGCTCTCGGAGGGGGCAGGTCAGCCCACATGGCATAAGACCTCACCCTTGGGCAGAGCCAGAGCCAGAGACCCGGAAGGAGACCCAGATGGACAGTCAGACTCCGAGCACCAGCGCCAGAGTGGGGAGAGACAGAGGCCGGGCTCTCCCCAGTGTGGGACAGCCTGACCAAGTGTGAGGACTCGGGGGAAAAAAAAATCACTTTGGTTTCATGGTTTTTAAAAAGCCCAGGGAATGTTTTGTGGAGCATGGTAACAGGCGCCAGAGCAGAGAGATCTGCCCCTACAGTGCAGATAAGACCTGTCCCCGCATGGGGACCCAGAAGGGAGTGTCTGGTAGCACTTTACAAGCACCAGGTATCCATCTGGTCTTAAGTCTCACCCAATCCCGCCAAGAATTGTCACCTACGCTTAGCGCGTCATTTCTAACTGCAGCATCTAGCCCTAGCTGGGATTGGGCCAGGGCAAAGCAGAATTGGAAAGGTGACAGATCAGGAATGCCAAACTCTATGTGATTGGACCATCCTCTTAAGCCAAGATCCCCCTATAAAATATGTGTGAATTTGGCAATAGAATGAGCGGCCATCAGCTATCTCCCGGAATGGTTTCTCCACGCACCTGTCATCCTTCACCCCGCATTTTCCCGGATCTAGTGCGCAGTGTGTCTGGGCACATTGGGAGAAAACTATCCCCCAATAATGTTTGGTTTGGATATTCCATACACCTGGGGTCACGTAAGACTCCCTCGAGTGGAAAGGGGTCACGAGCGGGGAGGGGCTAGGCAGCCCAGCCTGAGATCCTGGCAGACGTGAGGTTGCGGGTTCCACGCCCACGGAAACTGCATGCACCAGATGCCATCCTGGAATCTCTGCTCTCTGCCACCCCTGGAATTGCAGTGACCTCCAGCCCAAAGGGTGTGTGACCCCGGCAAGATGCCATAGCCAAGGTATTGCAAACACCACCACAAAAAATGCAACCCTCCGTGAGCATCTGTGGCCAAGGGTGAGAGTCCCGTAGCCACAACCACAAAGGGAAGGAGGGAAAATACAAACAGAAAATGGCCAGTGAGAGGCCGGGGCAAGAGAACCAAGGGGAGATCATTTATCTTGCACGTGGCCAACCTGTGTTCGAGCCCCATAGGTACCCCATAGGCTTCCCCAAGCTCCGCCAGGAGTGATTCCTGAGTGCAGAGTCAGGAGTAACCCTAAACTAAAAACAACCTTAATAACCCCCTCCACCTTGCTCCCCGCCCAAGAAAAAAAGAGAAAAAAAAAAACTAACAAACCACAAAAATGCCAAAAGACACATAAGACGATGAAGAAGAGACAGGCAGGAGGAGGAGACAGCTGCAGTTAAGCAAAGGACGGCGTGGGCCCTGAAGGAGCCAAGTGACCACACCAGGACATAAGGGGCGCCCTCTCCCTCTCCCCCGCCCCATCTCAGCTGCTGGGGGCTGGGCTGGGTGTCAGAGGTGGGAAGCCAAACCCCAGCTCCCAGACACTTGGGCTGTGGCCCTTACAGCGTGAGCTGGGAGCCCGGCCTGTGGGGGCCACGGTACCTGATTTTGGGGGCGCGGGGAGGCAGCTCAGATGGCATCTGCGGGCTCTGGAGAGAAGCAGCCCTGGAAGGAGACACCCCAAAGTGGGACCGAGCCAGCACCCCCTCTGCTCTGGTCCGCCCTCAGCCCACCTGTCCTCTCGACTCCCAGCTAGGGACCGTCAGGCCTCTGTCCCACCAGGCACCTCTGCCTCCCGGCTGTGTGACGGGAATCAGTCTCTCAGCCCCTCATTGTGAGAATGCCCCAGCCACCTTAGTCGGGCGGCTACTAAATGTCCAGTGAACCTGGACAGCAGGGCAGCACCCAAGTCCTCCTCCTCCACCTCTTCAGGGCCACCAGAGTTGTTTAGCCTAGTTCAGGTTGAGCTGTGAATGGCTCAGACGTTGCAGTAGGGGGGAGGGCAAACCAGCTGAGCCTGTGTGTGTGCTGGGCTGGGGCAATCCAGTAAGGCCCTCTGGAGGAGGCAAGCACCCTCCAAAATGTCATGGTGGTTAGGACTGGGGCAATAAAATAGCGGGCAAGGTGTGTGCCTTGCATGTAGCCAAACCATATTCAAACCCTGGCATCCTATATGGTCTCCTGAAAACCGTCAGGAGGAACCCCTAAGCTTCAGTGGGTGGATGAACCCAAAAATCAAGAAAAAATAAAACCAGTCTTTGTGGCCAAAGGAGCCAGCCCGCCTCAGAGCCAGACCCCGGCAGCCTCGGGGCTGGTGCTGAAGTGCCTGGTTCTCCACCGGCCTGCCCCACCGTGCTCCCTGGGGAATCAGGAGGGGTGCCCTCTCCCCTTGCGCCCTTGACTTTAGGGTGCATCTCCGTGAACCTGCTGCTTCCTGCACCTTTGTGCACAGGCCACACGCCATGACCATCCGGCTCTGCAAGACCTCAGGGAGGGGGCCTACCGCTTCTGGGGGTCCTCCTGCTCTTCCTGCTCTGGTGAGAAGGTGAAGATGGCGGTGCCGTGCATCAGGCTGCAGAGAGAAGAGGTGGGATGAGGGGAGGGCTGGTGGCCCATGAGAGGGACGGTCGCCTCTCCCTTTCCTCGTTCTAGCCCACACCTACCACACACAGCGGGGCTCCAGGGCCACTGGGCCTCAGCCAGCAGGGCCCCACATGGGGGTCCAGCTCAGGACACCTTTGACACCTACCCCAGCTTGCCTTGCTTTTCATTTTATTGTTTTGGCTTTTTTTTTTTCGTTTTGGGTCACACATGGTGATGCACAGGGGTTACTCCTGGCTCTGCACTCAGGGATTACACCTGGCAGTGCTTGGGGGGTGGCATATGGGATGCTGGGAATTGAACCTGGGTCGGCCACATGCAAGGCAAATGCCCTACTCACTGTGCTATCGCTACAGCCCACTGCCTTGCTTTTCCTGCCCTGGCTGTAACCTCCTCTGAACTCCAACTGTCTTTCAATGGCGAGGGTCTACACGCCATTAGCCTTCTGGTTGGGAACCCTTGAGAGAAATGCCAGCTGGGTGTGACTGCAGGATGAAACCTCTCCCCTCCCACTGTAGGACAGTGGGCCTGGGGGCTGGGAGTTCCCACTCACACTCTGTGGTGACCTCTGAGCCAAGACTTGGCTGGCCCAAGAGTCCCTTTCAAGGGCTTCCTCCATGGCCTTTGCCAACAAAGTTTTCTCCATTTCTCATCGCCCAAATTTGACTCCTGCTTAATGCAGAACTTAAGAGACCCAGTGAAGTCCTAAGAAAATGCACAACCAGCCACATCTCTCTCACACAGCTGAGAGGATGGCGGGTTATGTTCTGCAGTGGGTCCTTCGTCCTTCAAATCTTTCATTTTAAATATAGATACTTTTCTTTTTCTTTCTTTCTTTTTTTTTTTTTTTTGCTTTTTGGGTGACAGCCAGTGATGCTCAGGGGTTACTCCTGGCTCTGTACTTAGCAATTACTCCTGGTGGTGCTTGGGGGACCACAGGGGATGCTGGGGATCGAATCCGGGTCAGCTGCGTGCAAGGCAAATGCCCTACCACTGTATTACCACTCCAGCCCAATATAGCTAATTCTCTTTTCTTCTTCCCCAAAACTTTCACGGGATCGATGGAGCAGGGGTGACAATATGCTGTGAATTATGGGCTGGAGCGATAGCACAGCGGGTAGGGTGTTTGCCTTGCATGTGGCCGACCCAGCCGACCTAGGTTCAATTCCTCTGCCTCTCTCAGAGAGCCCGGTAAGATACCAAGAGTATCTGACCACATGGCAAAGCCTGGCAAGCTACCCGTGGCATATTCGATATGCCAAACACAGCAACAATGAGTCTCACAATGGAGATGTTATTGGGCCCGCTCGAGAAAATCAATAAACAACGGGAGGGCAGTGCTATTGGTGGGAATTATTGATTGTTCACAATACCATCTCCTTACCCTTGAGTAAGTCTTACAAATGAAACATCAAGGCCGGAGAGGGGGCTCAAGGCACACGTCCAGCATGCAGGAAGCCCAGGTTTGATCAATGGCACCGTGTGCCCCCCTGAGCACTGCTGGTGTCCCTGAGCATGGCCAGCAGTGGCAAACTAAAGAACAGCATGTGTTCATCTCTCCACCCTCAAGCTCTTTGTCTTTATTTATTTATTTCGGTTCGGAGGCCACACTCAGCAGCGCTCAGGGCTCACTCCCAGTTCTTTGCTCATGGGTCACTCCTGAGGGTTCAGGGAATCCTGAGGGGTATGGGGGGATTGAATCTGGGTCAGCCCGTGTGCAAGGCAAATACCCCACCTGCTGTCCTAGGGCTCCGTCCCTGATGTCATTAATCTTTATGGTTCCATCGAGTTCTCTCTCTGGAGGTATCAGTTTATTTAATCAAAGTCCAGCTGCGCATGTTACTCAAGTTACGCCCAGTGTTCCCGCAGGGAACCAGCCCAGTGATTTCCTCAGCGCCCGCTCTGAAAAGTGAGCAGAGTCTCCCTTCGAACCCCTTGGGCCCCTGTTTCAGATCTACCGTGACCTGCAGTCCCCCTCTGCTCCTTCTGGGGTGGGCCTGTTCCCTTCTCTCCCTGGACGCTGTCTAAATGGTGAGCACCTCCTCAATGGAGAGCACCCTGTGGTGGCCGTCATTGGCTTCCGGTCTCTGCACCACCTTAGACAAACATGCTTGGACCTGATTCTCAGGGTGGGTGCCCAGAAGCAGCCCTGAGCCCGTGTGAAGGAAAGTGGGTCACGTGTCACATGGTTTCTCAGGACAAACCAACAGGGGAGGACAGAGGGACATTGCTCAGGGCAGGCCCTGCACATGCTCCCACGGGCAGCTGAGGAGCCAGTGTTGTCCACTACAGGCTTGTCAGTGGTCACTACTGGCGGGGGGGCGGGGGGTCAGGGTGGGGTGTGGCCTCCACATGGGTCCAGGCGAGGGCCGCAGACTGTGGGTGACTTCACCTACCGCAAGCGCACCAGGGAACGGAGTGGGGGGAGTTCCCAAGTCTTGGGGCCGGAGAGGATCCCAAGGGCTCTCAGGAGAATGACAGGAGAGGCCAGGCAGGGGCAGTGATGGACAGTTGTGGACAGGGCTTTCTCACCTGATGTGCAGCTCCACCAGCGTCCGACGCCTGCTGGCCGCCCGCAGCACGCAGTATAGACCCGACTGGGAGAGCGCATTATTGCTGAGACTGCAGGGAGGCAGGTGGAGTGGGGGGCTGGAGGCCCTGCCCAGGAAGCTCAGCCCCCTCCTGCCTCCCCTTCCTCTTGGGTTGCCTGTGGGTCTCCAAGAAGCCTGGCCCACAGGAGGAGCTGAGAGCCACGGCCCCCAGCCCTCTCGGAGAACAGGGGTCTCTGGGCCCAGCGGTAAAAGCCCTCCCGCTGCTGAGGCCTCTCTGAGCCTGGCTCTCCTGGTCACGGTCACAGTGTCCATCCGGCCCGGAGACACAGGGCCACTCCGTGACATTCCTGGCACAGCCAGGATTGAAATCAAAGCCCAGGGCCCAGGGCCCTGGAGGTAGCTCCGTGGTAGGGGATGTGACCAGGGACCAGGCATCCTCGGGAATAGAAGAGAGGAAGTAACACACGCCAACGCCACACACCACAGGCACTGAGTCCCAGCAACCCTTGACCGGCAGTCCCCCCGCCCCCAACCCTCCACTACTTCATACCACACGGCAGTGTGTCCAACAGCCGTTCCCCTTCCTGTCCACCCCAGCACCCTACACCCCTCCCCTCAAGCCCAACACGCACCCCCACCCAAACCCATTCTTCATCCAGACACCTAATATCCCAGTGTTGCACCCAGGCAATACCCTCCGCCCCAAACACACATACACACACACTCCAGGGTTGCTGGAGGGACAAACTGGAACATGGGCAAGAGACATTCCCTACAACAGCAAGGACAGGCAGAGCATGGGAGAGGCCTGGGGGAACACCCCAATTTACTGCATCAGGGAAGATGAGGCAAGGGGGTTGTCGAAGCAGAGGCACTATTCCATTTGGGGTGGGGGTACTCACTCCAGTTTCCTGATGATGCCCAGCCGGGCTGCAGCCTCCACCATCAATCGGCAGCCTTCATCGTCCAGGTGGTTCCCTGAAAGGCTGAGACAGGGTTGCCCAATGGTTAGTGCTGCAAGAGGAGGCACCCCCTCAAGCCTCACCCAGTTCCCTTCCCCCCCCCCCCCGCCACACCCCGACTTAGGTCCAATCATGAGTCTACGCGTTGAAGCTTCACACTAACAGATGCTGGAAGACGGGTCACATGCCTGGTACCGACCTTGGTGCTTCTGCAGTGCCTGCATATTTGACCCTCACGCCCCTCAAAGAGGTGCCATTAGACCCCTCTGTCGTGCTGATGAGCACAGAGCAGTTTAGGGTACTGTGCTCCCAGGGGGACATGGGGTTTGAAGCCCCTGACTTCAGGACCCCACCCTCGATCATTTCTTTATATCACAACCTGAAAAATGGTTTCTGGTGACAAACTCATGATTTTAAGGACCTGTGTCTCAGTCTGGGGGTCAGGAAAGTCCCTCTGATGTTTGCTCTAGTTAACAGGAAAACTAGGAGTTCAGTAGCAAGAGAGATGGGAAGGAGGGTCCTAGCACAGAGGAAGGAGAAGCAGCGGAGAGAATTTCTGGTGGGATGGAAATGTCCTGATCTGAGATACAAGCTTCTTTGACTCCCAAGCAGTGCTCGGGAGGCTCCAAGTGGAGGGAGGGGCAGTGGGGAGTCAACTGTGATTCTTGATGGCTCCATGCAAGGGCCCAAGGGTGAGGTGATGCTCGGGACCAGCAGAGCTGGGATGATCTGGGCCGCCCTGATGGGATGAGGATCTCCGGGGTGGTACCCAGTGATGCTCAGGAAGACGAGGAGGTGCCAGGGATCAAACCTGGGTCAAGTACATGCCAGCTCACCCCTAACTTCTGGAATGTACCCCAGCCCCAGAACTGTCATCCTGTGGTTATTACCAGCCTCTGATAAGAACTCAGAGGAACTAGTTTCTGATGGGTTATGGGTCCATGCCCTTGGTTTCACCTTTTTCTTTCACTAAGGTCAAAATACAGAATAAGTCACCTGTCTGTGTGATATATGAGCAAGCTTGCCACCCCAGCACTGGATCATACAATACTAGCCCAACCCTTCCATGAAGATTTTGCACCTCAGCCGTGGAGAAGAAAAGAACTAAGTCAGAGACTAAGTCGAAAGGCTGCATGGGTGGTTTATGGGACCCTTAATCGCAGACAGCCGGCCTTGTAAGCCAAAAGTGGGGTCCCTGTCATCACTCTATCTCCCCTACTTCTCCCAGAGAAGATTACTTTGAGATAGACCCATTCTAGAGTATTTTGGCTCCAGTAGTCACACAGTAGTTCCCTTTTGACATGCACACGTTTAGCTTGGTTAGAGCAACACCGTAGGCACGATCACGATCATGACCATCCCGTTGTTTGTCGATTGCCTCGAGCAGGCCCCAGTAACGTCTTCTTTGTCCTAGCCCTGAGATTCTAAAAAGTGCCACAGTCAAGGCTCTTTCAGGGTTAGGAGAATGAGACCCATCATTGTTACTAGTATTTGGCATATTGGGTACGCCACGGGGAGTTTGCCAGACTCTGCCGTGTGGGCAGGTTACATTCGGTAGCCTGCCAGTGTGTCCAAAGGATGAGGTAATAAGATGTCATGCGGCCGCAAATGCGCCTGTGCGCTTCCAGGAGCTGGTTTTTATAGTCTCTGAGTCTTGGCCATTGATGGGATTACATGGTGCCAGGGGGCCAGTTGGTGGGTGTGACCCCTGCCTACTGGAATATAGAGGATCTGGGTGGAGGATGCTCAGCCCCGATCCGAGCAGGCTTGGAGATCTCAGCCCCGGGACCTGCATGCCTTTGTTCCTCTGCCGGTACCTTCATGCATGTGGAGAGTGGTTTCAGCATGGTGGTGGCTGGTTCTGGAGGTCTTTGGCTGCCGGAGCCCTGGTCGGGGTGGGGAGGAAAACTCAACCCGTTCCCCTCCAAGGGGCCCTGGCGAGGAGAGCCAGGCGCGGGGGCAGGAGACTCTGCCAACACCGTAGGCAAATGTCTGCAAATGTTAACCCTTGGTTTCCTGAGGAAGGTTGGTTTAAGACAGTAAATACGGAAGTCTCTGGAAAGTCGGGGCTCTCAGGCCACGAGGCTGCTAGCCCTCTGACCCCTTGCTTTTCTCTCTTATTTCTCTCTTGTCTTCTTCTTCTTCTTCTCTCTCTTTTTTTTTGGCTTTTTTTTTTGGGTCACACCCGGCGATGCACAGGGGTTACTCCTGGCTCTGCACTCAGGAATCACTCCTGGCAGTGCTCAGGGGACCCTATGGGATGCTGAGAATTGAACCTGGGTCAGCTGCATGCAAGGCAAACACCCTACTTGCTGTGTTATTGCTCTAGCCCCTTGTCTTCTTCTTTTCTAAAACTAAAATGAATTGCTGTCAGATACAGTTACAGACTCACAAACTTTCATGGTTTTTTTTTTTCAGTCATACAATGATCGAGTACGCATCCCTCCACCACTGCCCATTCTCTGACACTAATGTTCCCAGGATCCCTCTCACCACCCCTACCCTCTCTTGTCTTCTTAATCCTCACGCACCTCTGCCTCAGTCTGTTCACCTGGGGCTGGTCTCTGGCACTTAGCTAGCGCACCCTGTAAAAATCCTTGCCCCAAACCTAAAAGATGTAATTCTTCCATAGGAAATCCCACACCTGTGGCTTGGGTGTGTAACGTTGTTTCCTATAATACACTGTCTCATCCTTGATTTGTCTCTCATGATGAAGACAAGAATCTGGAGTCTGAATGGAGAATGCTCACTTCCGTCTCCTTTAAGACAAGAGAGTAAAATCTCTCCCTGAATTAAGTTCCATGGCCCCAAGTCATAGGTTCCGGTGGAAAGAACAAGCTCCCAGGTTATGCAGACCAAGCTGAGTCGCCTTTGTAGGATTGTCAGGGCAGTTGATCACAGGGAGCAAGAACTCTCTTAAGTCCTCTGGTCTTCCAGAGACCAGAATTACAGCAACACTACTGAGAACAGCACATTCAAAGGCCCTGTGGTACAGCACATCTGAGCGCTGAAAGGGAGCTAGAAGGTCTGCATTGAAGACCCATTAGAGGGCAGGACTAGGTGGGGTTTGGGGGTGGAGTTGTCCAGGGGTCTGGATCACATAGAACTTTGGGATCTAGGAAGGAATAAAATGCAGTTCAATCTCTGCCACACAGAGGGGATCCAGTGAAGGAAGCTGAGGGTCATGAAGATGAGAGTAATTAGGACTAAGGAGGTGGATGGAAAAGGATGGAGAAAAGAGACTCTTTTTGTTGTTTATGTTCATTTTTGGGCCATACCCAGTGATGCTTAGGCTATGAACTCAGGAATCCCTCTTGGTGGGCTCAGGAGACCATATGAAATGCCGGGAATTGAATTTGGATAGGCTGCATGCAAGACAAGAGCCCTCCCTGCTGTATTATCTCTCTCATCTCCTGAGAATCGTTTTTACTATTTTTTTAAATCTTTTTTGGGGTCACAGTTGGTGATACTCAGGGATCATTCCTGGCTGATGCACTCAGGAATTACTCCTGGTGCTGCTGGGGGACCATATGGGATGCTGGGGATTGGACCCAGGTCAGCTGTTTGCAAGGCTGTGTGTCATCGCTCCAGCCCCTCTTGAGAATCATTTTTAAAGCTGCACAGAGGCAGGCGAACCTAGAATGGGCTGGTTATGGAGGAGGAAATGGGGCCAAGGTGTCTGCTGTGTCACCTGGGGTGACAGGACCCTTGTTGCAAATGAGAAGACAGAAGAGGGGCAGGCTTGATGGAAGTGAGATGAAGTACGTGGGTTTGGTTTTAAAAAAAAAGGAAATACATTTTCATCCTGTCTTGGTTTTCCCAAGGGGACATGTCAAAGTTCATGTTTTATTCAGCAAAGCAAAGGGACTCTTGGCTCAAGAGACTTCCTAGCAAGTCAACTTGTGCCTTCATGCCCCTTTGATTTTCCGGGGACAGGCCCAGCAGGCCCCCATCTAAGGCATCTCATGCTCACACATCCACAACCCCCTGGCCCTATTCTGCAAGGCTCTGTCTGGTCCCTGAGAATCATGGACATTTCTCGGGCTACAAAGGGAGGGCCACCTCACTCTGGAAGACTGTGGGCCCAAGGGCTGTTACTTGGAACCCAAACTTGAAAGAGGAACCCTCTGTTTCCCCAGGCCAGCTGCTGCGAACAGCTTCTTTTAAGCTGTCTCCAGCCTACATTTTAAACACTCGGTTTCCTATAAATCCCCCACAAAACAAGCCATATTTCACTCAGTCCTATACTAAGTTCCTCCCTTGCTAGGGCGTTTCTATTTCAGCTCCTTTTTAATAAACATCTTAATTTTCTTTTCTACTTTACTTTTCTTTTCTGGGTCACATCCAGTGATGATGCTCAGGGATTACTCCTGGATATGCACTCAGAAATTACTCCTGGTGGTGCTTGGGGGACCATATGGGATGCTGGGGATCGACCCCGGGTCAGCCACATGCAAAACAAATGCACTTCCCACTGTAATATCACTCCGACCCTAAATGTCTCTGTTTTCTAACTTTTAGTCTGAACATCTGTATTACTCAATATTTTTTTTTTCTTTTTGGGTCACACCCGGCGATGCTCAGGGGTTACTCCTGGCTTTGCACTTAGGAATTCTGGCGGTGCTCAGGGGATTATATGGGATTCTGGGAATTGAACCCAGGTTGGCCGTGTGCAAGGCAAACGCCCTACCCGCTGTGCTATCGCTCCAGCCCCAACATTTTCATGCTTGAACCTGGGAACCGTGGACAAACACAGAGACCCTTCTTCACTGCTCCTGCATCAGACCCAGGGAGGGGCATACACTTTGCAAATTCTGGTGATGGGATGGCCAGGAGGAGGCCGGGAGTCAGTTGGAACTTCAACCCTAGACTCTTCCTTCTTGGGTGGCCTTGAGCAAATTTACCTTCCTGTAGCTCTTTTCCTCCTCGGAGCTTACCTGATAGGGGCATGAGGGTTCAGTCAGGACACATGTTCAAGCATCCAGAAATGTGCTGGAGAGCAGAAGCTCTTGACATGTTCTGATACCAAAGTTCTGGCTGAGGAAGCATGCCCATCCCCCACACGTCCATTCCAAGGGGATTCCCCCTCCCCAGCCCCCATTTCCTGCCCCAGCCCTTTCCTTAATACTCACTCCACTTCTTCCAGTTGGAGGCCCTCCTGGAGATGGGCTAGGAGAATCTCCACATTGTGGACCCTGAGCTGACACTTCTGGAGCCTGGGGAGAGAGTGGCGGGACAGAGTTCAAGTCAAGAAGCGACACCAGGTCTTCCTGAGCCCTGCAAGTTGTCCCCAGACACAGGAGCTGACCCAGGCAGGAAGCCAACAGGCCTGAGTCTCACTCTGGCCTCATTAGGCACTCCACCCGCCTGAGACTCAGCCTCCTCCTATCCAATGGGCATACCAATGTCTACTTCATAGAACTTACAAAGGAATGTGTTTTGTTTTGTTTGGGAGCCACACCTGGCAGTACTCAGGGCTTAGTCCTGGCTCTGTGCTCAGGGACCACTCACTCTGGTGGGGCTCAGGGGACCATATGCAGTGTCAGGGTTAAACTCAAGTCAGTCATGTGCAAGGCAAGTGCCCTACCTGGTGGATTCTTGTGCCAACCTCGAGGACTTTCAAAGGAATATATTTTTTTCTTTTTGGGTCATACCCAGCAATGCACAGGGGTTACTCCTGGCTCATGCACTCAGGAATTACTCCTGGTGGTGCTCGGGGGACCATATAGGACGCTGGGGATCGAACCCAGGTGAGCTGTGTGCAAGGCAAACGCCCTACATGCTGTGCTATCACTCTGGCCCCTTTCAAAGGAATATTAGTGAATATTAATGAATATAAGCTACTGGACCCATGTAGAACAGAGCCCTTTGGATTGTAGCTATTATTATTGCAATGACAGGTGCTCCTAGTTCATGGCCTCCCCTTGTCCATCTCTGCTCTTCCTTTCTCCTCTCACCACTGCCATTGCTGCCCGGGGAAGGGGCTCTCCCTCCATGCCTCCTCCCTCTCCTTAAGTCAACAGAGTCCTACCTGAGACTCAAGCTTCGGTCCTGGGTCTCCTTCTTCTGGATGGCAGTTCCCTGTCGGTCTGAGGCTCTGGCAAGAACAAATCAAACACTGGTCTGGACTCCAGTGTCTGATGAATCAAACTTCTTTGCTTGTCTTCTAGGGGCTGCAAACCCTATAGCACCAACCCACAGTAAGTGAGTCACAAAGATGATGGCTTGAAGGTGCCCTGGGCGCTACCCAGCAAAGCAGCAGGAACAAAGGTTAAAAGGATTTTGATTCAAACTTGGGCTCTGCTACAATGGTGAGGTGGTAGCAAATCAAATCAGTCCACCCTTCAGTCTCCAAGTTCTCTTTCCTTTTTTCTTTTCTTTTCTTTCTTTCTTTCTTTTTTTTTTTTTTGCAGCAATGGGGTGCAATGCCACAGTCAGCTGTTTAGGGCTTACTCCTGGCTCTGTGCTTAGAGATTACTCTTGGCACTACTCGAGGACCATACAGGGTGCCAGAGATAGAACCTGGGTTGGAGATGTGCAAGCAAATACCCCTGTACCTACCTCCATAGCCCCTCCAATTTCTTTTCTCTAAAATGGGAAGACAATTTCCAGTACACAGAGTGATTGAAGGATTGAGTGATGTAGTGTAGGGTCAAATGCCCAGCACTGGCACAAAAGTGGCAATTCTTATGCTTAGGGAACTAAAAGAAGCAATGGAAAGCAACGCCAATAGAAGACAAGAGGATTTGAAGGCAGAAATGAGGAAAATGCAATCGGAAATGTCAGACCTGAAAAATCTCGTAGGCGAATTGAAAAACTCAGTGGAAGGCCTCAGCAGCAGAGTAAGAGCTGCTGAGAACAGAATCAGTGAGCTCGAAGATAAAGTTCAGAGACTCTCCAGAAAAGAGCAGAAAATGGAAAAGAGACTCACAATTCAGGAACAGATGGCAAGAGAAGATCGTGATGAAGCCAAGAGGGGTAACATAAGAATTATTGGAGTACCAGAGGTACAGGAAGAAAAGCTTGATGAAGAAGAAACTGTCAAAGACATCATTGCTACAACGTTTCCAGAGCTGAAGAAAACTTGTGACCACATTCAGGAGGCCCGAAGGGTACCAGCTAGAAGAAATCCGAATAAAAATACCCCAAGACACATTCTGATCAAAATGACCAAAACCTTAGACAGAGACAAAATTCTGAAAGCAGCAAGATCGAAGAAAGAAATCTCTTACAAAGGAGCATCCTTAAAATTCACAGCTGATTTTTCTGATGAAACTCTCATGGCCCGAAAACAGTGGTGGGACATAGTGAAAAAACTCAATGAAATAAATGCCTCCCCAAAAATACTTTACCCAGCGAGACTCTCATTCATAATAGAAGGAACAACACACAGTTTCACAGACAAACAACAGCTCAGGAACTTCATAGACTCAAAACCATGGTTACAAGAACAACTAAATGGACTACTTTAAGGCAAGAAAGGTCCCTCAAATACACCAAATTTCAACAGAACAATGGGACAAAATCCCATAACAATAATCTCTCTCAATGTCAATGGGCTAAACGCACCAATTAAAAGACATAGAGTGGCAGGATGGATTAGAAAATTGAACCCAACATTCTGCTGCCTGCAAGAAACACATCTCAATAGTCAAAGCAAACACAGACTCAGAGTCAAAGGCTGTAAAACAATCCTACAGGCAAACAGCTCCCATAAAAAAGCTGGGGTAGCCATCCTTATATCAGACCACATCGATTTCAGAGTGAAGAAGGTCATAAGAGACAGTGAAGGCCATTTCTTATTGATCAAAGGATCTGTACAACAGGAAGAACTTACAATAATAAATGTATATGCACCTAATGAGAGACCAGCAAAGTACTTAAAACAACTACTCATAGATTTGGAAAAAGACATCAATAGCAACACAATACTAGTGGGAGACTTCAACACCGCTTTGTCACTTCTTGATAGATCAACCACACTCAAGCTTAGCAAGGACATACTTCATCTGAGGGAAACAATGGAAGAAAGGGACTTAGTAGATATATACAGGACACTTCATCCACAAAAAGCTGAATACACATTCTTCTCAAGCGTACATGGAACATTCTCCAAGATAGACCACATGCTGAGCCACAAAACATGCCTCCATAAAATTAAGAAGATAGAGATTGTATCAACAATCTTCTCAGACCATAATGCGCTGAAATTAGAAGTAAATCACACACAAAAACAGAAAACTAAATCAAACACCTGGAAATTAAACAGTGAGCTATTGAACAACGAGTGGATTAGACAGGAAGTCAAAGAGGAAATCAAAAGATTCCTAGAAACGAATGAAAATGAGAACACGAGTTACCAAAACTTATGGGACACAGCAAAGGCTGTGTTAAGAGGAAAGTTTATAGCTCTACAAGCATTCCTCAGGAAGGAGGAGCGAGCACACATAAGTAACCTAACCTCACAGCTTAAGAGCTTGGAGAAGGACCAAAAAAAGGAGCACAACCCGAACAGGAGAAAGGAAATAATAAAACTCAGAGCAGAGATTAACGAGATGGAAACCCAAAAAACAATCCGAAAGATCAATGAAACCAAGAGCTGTTTCTTCGAGAAAATTAACAAGATCGATAAGCCTCTAGTAAAACTCACAAAGAAAGGGAGAGAGAAAACCCTAATAAACCGAATCAGAAATGAAAAGGGGGTCATTACAACAGAAACTACAGAAATTCAAAGGATCCTCAGGGAGTACTTTGAGAAGCTTTATGCCACGGAACATCAAAACCTCGAGGAAATGGATAAATTCCTAGACTCCTACAGACTGCCAAGGCTGAACCAAGAAGACCTGGAATACCTGAATAGACCTATCACCATCAAGGAAATTGAAATGGTAATAAAAAGTCTCCCCAAGCACAAAAGTCCTGGTGCGGATGGATTCACTAGTGAATTCTTCCAAATCTTTAAAGAGGACTTACTCCCAATCCTCTTTAAGCTTTTCCACGAAATTGAAATATCAAAAACACTTCCAAACAGTTTCTATGAAGCAAATATCACACTGATACCAAAAGCAGACAGAGATACCACAAAGAAAGAGAATTACAGACCGATATCCCTGATGAACACAGATGCAAAGATCCTCAACAAACTACTAGCAAATAGAATCCAACTACTCATCAAAAAGATCATACACCATGACCAAGTAGGATTCATCCCAGGTATGCAAGGATGGTTTAACATTTGGAAATCAATCAACATAATTCATCATATCAACAAAAGAAAAGATAAAAAGCATATGATTATATCAATAGATGCAGAGAAAGCATTTGACAAGATCCAGCACCCCTTTATGATGAAAACCCTAGCCAAAATGGGTATAGAGGGGACCTTCCTCAACATAATTAAAGCCATCTACCACAAGCCTACAGCAAGCATCATCCTCAATGGGGAAAAACTGAGAGCCTTCCCTCTAAGATCAGGGACGAGACAAGGATGCCCACTATCTCCACTGCTGTTCAATATAGTACTGGAAGTACTTGCAATAGCGATTAGGCAAGAAAAAGATATTAAGGGCATTCAGGTAGGAAAGGAAGAAATCAAACTCTCACTATTCGCAGATGATATGATACTATACTTAGAGAACCCAATAACCTCCACCAAAAAACTCCTAGAAACAATAGACTCATATAGTAAAGTTGCAGGCTATAAAATCAATACCCAAAAGTCCATGGCTTTCCTATACGCAAACAGTGAGAGAGAAGAAAGCAACATGAAAAAACAATCCCGTTCACAATTGTGCCCCAGAAAATCAAGTACCTAGGAATCAGCTTAACTAAGGAAGTAAAGGACCTGTACAAAGAAAACTACAAAACGCTACTTCAGGAAATAAAAGAGGACATGAGGAAATGGAAAGATATCCCCTGCTCATGGGTCGGTAGACTTCACATTGTCAAAATGGCAATACTACGGAAAGCATTGTATAAATTCAATGCAATCCCTATAAAGATACCCATGACATTCTTCAAAGAAATGGAGTAAGCACTCCTGAAATTTATATGGAACAATAAGCCCCCACGAATAGCTAAAGCAATTCTTGGGAAAAAGAAAATGGGAGGAATTAACCTCCCGAACTTCAAACTGTACTACAAAGCAGTAATAATTAAAACAGCATGGTACTGGAACAAAGGCAGAACTGCAGACCAATGGAACAGTGTTGAATACACTGACATCTCCCCTCAATCATATGATCATCTAATCTTTGATAAAGGTGCAAGTAATGTGAAATGGAGTAAGGAAAGCCTCTTTAACAAATTGTGCTGGCATCACTGGATGGCTACATGCAAAAAAATGGGCTCAGAACTCTGCCTAACACCATGTACAAAAGTAAGATCAAAATGGATTAAAGACCTCAACATCAGACCAGAAACCATAAGGTACATTGAAGACAAAGTTGGCAAAACCCTCCATGACATTGAAGCTAATGGTATCTTCAAAGATGCCATGCCACTGGCCGAGCAAGTGAAAACAGAGATAGATAAATGGGACTATCTTAAACTAAGAAGCTTCTGCACCTCCAAAGAAACAGTGACCAAAATACAAAGACAGCCTACAGAATGGGAAAGGATATTTGCCAAATACACATCTGACAAGGGGTTGATATCCAGGATATACAAAATACTGGTTAAACTCCACAAGAAGAAAACATCCAACCCCATCCAAAAATGGGGCAATGAAATGAACAGAAACTTTCTCAAAGAAGAAATCTGAATGGCAAAAAAGCACATGAGAAAATGCTCTACATCATTAATCATCAGGGAGATGCAGATCAAAACCACAATGAGATACCATCTCACACCTCAGAGACTGGCCCACATTCAAAAGAACAAAAGCAACCAGTGCTGGCGCGGATGTGGCGAGAAAGGGACACTCCTTCACTGTTGGTGGGAATGTCGACTGGTTCAGCCCTTCTGGAAAACAGTATGGACGATTCTCAAAAAATTAGAAATTGAGCTCCCATTTGACCCAGCAATACCCCTTCTGGAACTATATCCCAGAGAGGCAAAAATGTATAGTCGAAGTGACATCTGCACTTGTTTGTTCATTGCAGCACTCTTTACAATAGCCAGAAACTGGAAGAAACCTGAATGCCCACGAACAGATGACTGGTTAAAGAAACTTTGGTACATCTACACAATGGAGTACTATGTAGCTGTTAGAAAAGATGAAGTCATGAAATTTACATACAAGTGGTACAATATGGAAAGTATCATGCTAAGCGAAATGAGTCAGAAAGAGAGGGATAGACATAGAAAGATTGCATTCATCTGGGGGATATAAAGTAACAAAATATGAGATTAATACCCAAGAATAGCTGAGATCAGCACCAGGAGGATTACTCCATAACTTAGAGGCCAGCCGGGTATCCTAGAGGAAAGGGCAGTTCAGATAGAGAAGGGAGCACCAAATAAAGGATGTTTGGAGTATCCTCCCAGGAGGGGAGATGCATGTCGAAAGTAGACTATGGACTGAACATGTTTGCCACTCAATGCCTCTTTTGCAGACCACAACATCCAAAAGGAGAGAGAGAACACAGGGGATTGCCCTGCCACAGAGACAGGGGGGATGGGGGGATGGGGGTGGGAGGGATATTATCCATGGTGGTGGAAAATGGGCACTGGTGGAGGGATGGGTATCTGATCATTGTATAATTGAAACCAAAGCACAAAAAATTGTAAATCTACAACTGTAAAATAAAATAAAATAAAATAAAGGGGAAAAAATGTATAGTCGAAGTGACATCTGCACTTGTTTTTTCATTGCAGCACTCTTTACAATAGCCAGAAACTGGAAGAAACCTGAATGCCCAAGAACAGATGACTGGTTAAAGAAACTTTGGTACATCTACACAATGGAGTACTATGTAGCTGTTAGAAAGGATGAGGTCATGAAATTTACATACAAGTGGTACAACATGGAAAGTATCATGCTAAGCGAAATGAGTCAGAAGAGAGGGATAGACATAGAAAGATTGCATTCATCTGGGGGATATAAAGTAACAAAATATGAGATTAATACCCAAGAATAGCTGAGATCAGCACCAGGAGGATTACTCCATAGCTTAGTGGCCAGCTGGGCATTCTAGAGGAAAGGGCAGATCAGATAGAGAAGGGAGCACCAAATAAAGGGTGTTTGGAGGAACCTCCCAGGAGGGGAGATGCATGTCGAAAGTAGACTATGGACTGAACATGTTTGCCACTCAATGCCTCTTTTGCAGACCACAACACCCAAAAGGAGAACGAGAACACAGGGGATTGCCCTGCCACAGAGGCAGGGGGGGATGGGGGGATGGGGGTGGGGGGATATTATCCATGGTGGTGGAAAATGGGCACTGGTGGAGGGATGGGTATCTGATCATTGTATAATCGAAACCCAAGCACAAAAATTGTAAATCTACAACTGTACCTCATGGTGTTTCACTAATAAAAAAAAAGTGGCAATTCTTAAGAAGCTATTGTCTAAGATGTGAAGATGAGCTCTGTCATCTGGAAGGCGGGGAGTATGGAGTGCATGTGGGCCCAGATGCGGGGATCACAGCACCTCCGGTCTCTTTCCCACCTAGCCAGGGGGAGGATGGAGGCTGCAGGGATGTTGGGACCTTCAGAGTAAGGTTTTCACTGACCTCTCAGTCCTCACTTGTCTAACTGAGCTTTCTAGGACAACAGTCACATTTTATATCTGTGTCATCCACTATGGAAGTCACTGACCACCCATGGCCATGTACTTGAAGTATGCCAAGGCAACCAATAAATGGGAATCTTCCTTGTAGTTGTTTGTTTGATTTTTTGGGGCCCACATATAGCTCTACTCAGATACTACACCTGCTCTGCTCTCAAGGATCACTTCTGGAGGGGTTCAGAGGACCATAAGGGGTGCTGGGGATTGGATCTGGGTCAGCTGTGTGCAAGGCAAGTGCCCTACCTACTATGCTATTGTTCTGACCTATATAACTTTGTTGATTTAAATAACCACGTGTGTATAGCAGCTGCTGTACTAGGCATACATCAGTCCAAGGGGGAACTGACAACATACCTGCTGAACATTGTACAGGTAAGAAGGAGAGGCAGAGAGCAGGGAAAAGACTTGCCCAAGGGCATATAGCATCTGCTATCTCTGAGTCTTAGCAGGAACACACGGGGAAACCACACTCTCTCTTAAGAAGCAGTATCCTGTTCCCTAACCCCCTGAAGCTGGCCAAAGCTTGGATCCATATGGAAGCTGTGTAGGGGGGCGATAGTCGCCTTTCCCATTTTTCATAGAAAGAGTTTCCCCTGGCAAACTCACAGCATCTTTGTTCCCTATCTGAGTCTGGCTCATTCTCAGACTTCTGTAAATGTTTCCTCAGCATGGCCATGAGATATTAGAGGAATTAAAGTCCTTTACCAACACTAAGCAGTGACTTGTTCTTTAAAGCAAGAATCTACCCGCCCCCAAAAGCCCATTCTAGGTCTCCTTTGCCCATCACTGTCTGAACTCAGATCAATTATCAGAATGAGCCCCCACCTGCTCCGGCTAGTTTCTTACCTTTGAAGATCCCCATTTGTCTCTGCAGGCGGGGAGAGAAGGAAGACAAGATCCGTCTCGCTGCAGGGGTAAATACCAAGCCATGAAACGTGTGGAGTGGAAACCAGCACAGTTCTCCCTCCCCCTTGCTTCCCTAAAATTCCAGAGAAAAAAATTTTTTTGGCTGGCTTTGATTTTTGTTTTGGACCACAACTAGTCTTGCCTGAGTGTAATCCCAGGATGGTGCTGGAGGCACCATGAGATGCCAGGGCTCAAACCCGGGGCCTCCTAGCATATGAACAGGCATTCTGTTCCTTGGCGCCATCTCCCCAGGCAAAATCTGATTTCTCTCTGTGTGTGTGTGTGTGTGTGTGTGTGTGTGTGTGTGTGTGTGTGTTGACAGAGAAATGATTGAACTGGCAAGAGAACTCCAAGTCTGTAAAATTGAGACTTCCTCAATACTTGATAAATTATGAGTGTTTTTAAGAAAGAGGTCAGGGAAGCAATTCTGACCTCATAGATCATTGAAGTTTTCCCCGCTGAGGGTTTTTATAGGAGTCTCATTGTTTAAGGATTAGGAGCCAGGCACTTGACCTGGCGGGAATAAAACCCAGCGTTGTGCATTCAGCACCGTGGAGAGCGACACATGCCACAGGCCGCCGGGGGCTCCAGGCGGCTGGCTGTGCCCTTGTTCGTTCCTTCCTCCATCACTTTGCCCGACTTAATGTTCCTCCTTTCATTTTTACTGTGCCCTCATGGTTTGTTGAGTGCCGGGTGCCAGCTGTGGGCTAGGCTTTAGAGAGACCAGGGAAACACAGACGTGGTGGAGCGGGCCGACTTGGGTCTCCCTCTGTCCCCTCTCTCTCCATCTTTCCCTTCTCTTTCTCAGGAACTGGAGACTAGGATCCCACCCTCGCTCACCTGACCTGCAGCATCCTCACGGCAGGGCATGTGACTGCCACCTTTGTCAAGAGGAGCAGGGTGGCCACCGAGACATCATTGCAGCTCAGGCTGCATGGGGGGGGGGGGGTGGTGGTTAGAGGTGTCAGGGGGAATTTCCTCTCCCAGGGCACCCCCCGGCTCCCGTGATTCCCGAGGGAGGGAGACCGTGGAAAGGCTACTTACTCGAGCTTCTGGAGGCGTGGCAGAGCCAGGAGCTCCTTCACGATGTCCTGCACCTCCTGGTCCTTGAACTGGTTGTCCTGAAAGCTGTGGGGAGGTTGAGGCTCTGTCCCTCAGACCTCGGGCTGGGGCATTTGGAAGCCCCAGTTCACATGCTGGTGGCCACGTGACAGGCATGCCCACCCTCAAGCAGAGGACACAAGATGAGGGGCCCAGAACAAGTGGGTGACCTGCTCCGTGGTACCCAGCAGGGACAGTTAGGAGGGAAGGGGCCCCGTGGGATTCCTTTCCTTTTCTTTCTTTCCTTTATTCCTCCTCCCTCTCTTCCTTCCTCCCTATCTTCCTCCCTTCCTTTCTTTCTTTCTTTCTTTCTTTCTTTCTTTCTTTCTTTCTTTCTTTCTTTCACTGAATCACAGTGAGATACACTGTTGCAAGTTGTCCATGATTGTGTGTTTCAGTCATACAATGTTCCAACACCATACCTTCACCAGTGTACATTTCCCACCACCAATGTCCTTTTCAACCTGCCTCTATGGCAGACTCTCTCTCTCTCTCTCTCTCTCTCTCTCTCTCTCTCTCTCTCTCTCTCTTTCTGGGAATATAGTTTGCAATATAGGTACTTTCTTTGTTTTTCTATTTTTTCCCTTCGTTCCCTTTCCTCTTTCTTTCTCCCTCCCTCCCTTCCTTTCTTTTTCTTTTCTTCCCTTCTTTCTTTTCCTCCGCTCCTCTCCACTCCTCTCCTCTCCACTCCTCTCCTCCCCTCCCCTCACCTCCTCTCCCTTCCCTTCCCCTCTCCTCCCCTCTCCTGTTTTTTTTTCTTTTAGCCACAACCAGCAGTGCTCAGGGTTTACTCCTGACTCTGCCCTCAGGAATTCCTCCTGGCAAGACTTGAGAATAAAAGCAGCACACTGGGGATCAAACGCTGGTCAACCTCTCCTCTTTGAGACTTCCTAAAGAAATCCCATACAAAGCCTGACAGAATATTCCAACTCCAGTCCAGATCCCAGGGCACTCCAACCGCTGGTTAGTGGCACGTCCCTGCAGCCTGTGAACCCTCCCGATGGTCACTCACCAGATCTCTTCCAGCTGTGTACAGAGAAGCAAGGCCTCCAACAGCCAACCGATGCCACGGGCAGTGATCTTACTTCCGGACAGCCTACAGGGCCAGCATGGAAGGCAATTGGGGAAGGCGGCTGGTCAGGAGCCCACCCCAATCCCGGCTAAGGGAAGGGAGGGGAGATTTTCAGGACCCCGGGTTCCAAACCCCGGCTCACCGCAGCTTCCTCAGGCTCCCCATGGTGGGCAAACTCCTGGAGAGGGCTTTGGCAAAGTCATCCCCGCACTTCCTGCTCTTAAAGCTGTTGTGGAAAGAGGCAGAGTGACAGCGGATTGCTGTGGGGCAGGGCTTGGCGCCAGGCCCCCTGCTCTGAGGGGTGGAGTTAATCACAGCTGTGACGCAAACAGCTCTTGTCACAGTACTGACCGTTCCAGTAGCAGGAAGGCTTATCCGGCAGAGACAGAAACTTGTCCCTTCAACTTCCAACCCGCTTCATGCACAGGCACGGAGCTGAATCAGGAAACGGCTCCCTTTCCCAGCCAGAGATGGGGACTCTCAGCCTCCTTTAGAGCTGGTGTGCCCACAGGACCATCTGGGGCTGAGCATTACTAAACATGTTGGCACGGCTCACCCATCCCTTATTTCCAGAGCCCAGAGGTGTCTGACTTGGTCCATGCAACTCAGTGCCCAAGGAGGAGAGGGAGTAGCCGGAGAAAGGACCCAAGTCCTTCCTGACCACCCAGGGATTAGCCATGTTTCTGATCCCTGGACCCCCTCCCCTCTGAGCTATCTGATCCCATCCTGGGGCACGGGGCCCATGCTCCTGCTGCCGGGCCTCCTGGCTAGCCCTGAATGAGACTTGCTGGGCTCTGGGCGCTGTGCTCAGCCATCTCTCGATGCACCCACGGGCTCTTTTTACTTCACAACAATTAAAGCTCTCTTCGTTTCCTGGGCTTTGGGAGCCACATCTGGTGTGTTCAGGGCTTCCTCCTGGCTCTGTGCTCAGGAGTCACTTATGGTGGGATTTGGGGGGGGCCCAAATGGTACTGGGGATTGTTGCGAGGCCCCGATGACTGAGGACCGCATGCCAGGCAAGCTCCTTAGCCCCTGTAACCGTCTCTGTGGCTCCCTTCACAATGACTCTACGATGCCTTTCTGTTTCTGAATGGGAGGAGGAAATAGGTCAAGAGCTTCAATGACCTTCCAAGTCCCACCACTACCAAGAGGACAACACAGCTCAGGGGGACTCAGACAGAGCCAGATGGAACCAGGAAGCCATTGCAAGGGCCGCAGGGATCATGCAAAGGGCTGGGCCCAGGCTCACCTGTGCTGGTGGAGGTGGGGGTAGGGGCTGGGTGGATTCCCAGCACTGAGTGATCCTCTAAGCAGCAAGCTGGGAGTACCCCTCGAGCACTGCCAGGTGTGCCCCCTCCCCCCAAAAATAAAATTTAAGTCGGAAGAGGCTGGAGCGATCAGACAGGAACTTGGGCACTGGCCTTGCACGTGGTCACCCCGGTACAAACTCCCAGCACCACAGATGGTCCCCTGAGCACTGCCAGGGATGAATCCTGAGTGCAGAGCCAGGAAGACCCCTGAGCACCCCTGGATGTGATGCCCCACTGTCCTCCCGTTGTTCATCGATTTGCTCGAGTGGGCCCAGTAACGTCTCCATGGTGAGACTTGCTATTACTGTGTTTGGCATATCAAATATGTCACGGGTAGCTTGCCAGGCTCTGCCATGTGGGTGAGATACTCTTGGTAGCTTACCGGGCTCTCCGAGGGGGGTGGAGGAATCGAACCCAGGTCGGCGGGGCTGGCCGCATGCAAGCCAAACACACTACCGCTGTGCTATCACTCCAGCCCATGTGATGCCCCAAGCCCAAAATAAACTAAGAAAGCCGGAAGCCCCCACAAGAGATGCACCCAGCTGGACCCCGAGGTGCAGCCAATGCGTGACGCTCCCTCACCATGCCCAAAGATCAGGGGTCATGGAAGCGCCTCTCTGTCTTACCATTCCACGGACCAATTTCCGCTCACCCCCAGTCCCACTTCCCCTGGGGCCTCCCCTGCCAACCCCACCCCCCCGCCCCCGTGCCCTTGCTCTCACCTCAGGCACTCTATCTGCCCACAGCCTGCCAGGACTTCAGGGCTGCAGGGCTCCAGGGGGCAGCCCTCAAACTCCAGGTGGATGGGTTCTTCCCTGTGCCCCAGGACATTGGTCACGGCAGCCAGGTCACCATAGGTGAGCCGGAAATTATGGAAGGGCAGATGAAGGGGGAAGTTCTGGGCGCTGAAGCTGGCCAGCTCGGGCTCCTGCGTCTCCTCGATGCAGCGACAGAGCTCAACCACCTTGGGGCCCGTGAGCTTGCGGGCGGCCAAGTTCCTCAGCGCCTGTATCACGGCCGCCTGCCTGGCGCCCAGCCACGCCTCGTCGCTCTGGGCCAGGCGGCTGAGGAAGGGCCGGCAAGAGCGGGAGGCCAGGCCCGCCAGGAAGGCGGGGAGGGCGTCCAAGAGGCGTGGGCTCGCCACGGTCCTCAGCACCCAGCGCGAGAAGAGGGCCACGTGGCGGGCCAGCTCCTCTTTGTCCACTGTGGCACTGACCATCAGGTACAGGGCGGCAAAAAATCCTTGCAGGCTGAGGGAGGGGAAGGCGTAGCCGATCTCCTGGTGTCCCGGGCCTGTGCACACGCGGTGAGAGGTCAGCAGGCCGTGGTCAGCCCCACAGGCCATCACAGGTGGACAGAGTTCTTCCCCGGAGAAGATGAAGATGACCTTTCCGTCCTTCAGGCCCTTCAGGGCCACCTCGCCCAGGCCCAGCAGGGCGTCGGCGGGCAGCGGCCTCTGCAGGCTGAGTATGAGCACAAGCTGCAGGTACATCTGCGTGACCGTGGGCGGGAGGGCGGCCACTGGGCCCCCGGAGCAGCTGGGGAGCGGGTGGCGGAGGCAGAAACAGGCGAGCTGGCAGAGAGCCGGGATGGCACACACGCTCTGGACATGCCTATTTGCCCGCAACGTGGACAGGGCTGCCTCCCGGGCCGCCTGGTCGCCGAAGAAGCGGGTCACATACTCGTCCACCCGTGGTTCGTCGAAGCCCCACATGTGGACCAGGGCGGCCTCCTTGGGCAGGCAGGCGGGCAGCTTCCCCGGGCGCGAGGTGGCCATCACCTGGCAGCCGGGCAGAAGGGTCCCTTGGCAGAGGCCCGAGAAGAGGGCGAGGGCTGAGCCGGGGGCCTCGGTGCCAGACTGCAGGGCCTGGTCCAACCCGTCGAAGATGAGCAGGACACCCTCGGCTCTCTCCTCCAGGAACTGCAGCACCGCGCCGGGGGCCGTGACGGGCGCCGCCTCGGGGCCCAGGGACGCGTCAAAGAGGAGCTGGGAGAGCGTCAGCGGCTGGGGGAGGAGGTTGAGCAGGCGGAATTCGAACAGGAACACGGCCTGGAAGCACTGCAGCTGCCCGTCCGCCCACCTCCGGCAGAGCCACTGGGCTAGGGTGGTCTTCCCCATGCCCGCCTGCCCCAGGAGCACGGTCACCCGGGTGCCCTTGCCGGTCCTAGTGGGGAAGAGGTCCTGGAGGCTGACTTGGGGGCCGTCTTCCATCAGGGGGCCCCTGGGTGCCTCCTGAGAGTCCAGGGGTGACGGGGCCCGGCTCCACTGCAGGATTGGGGGTACGTAGACCTGCTGGGGGACAAGGGCCCACCCAGGCTCAGGGACGTCCACTGTGTAGCGCTGCTGGGCAGAGGTCCTCAGCCGCTGCAGGTAGCTCTTGGCCAGCTCTGTGGGAGCAAGGAGAGGGGGTGACGGTGAGAGGCCCCCAGGAAGCCCAGAACCTCAGCTGTATGTTGGGGGGGGGCTGGAGCGGGTAAAGGGCACACAGGGGGCTCCCTGCCATGGGGTTTCTAGAAAGCACCGGTCTTCCGGGGCACGGGCGTGCCCTCCTCTAACAGGAGCTGGGCAGTGAGAGTCCTGGCTGGACTCTTTGGCACCAGCTTGCTGGGGTGGGGGAGGGGACTCTGTTCAGTATGGGGGGGAGCAGAGGCACTTGCTTCCAACAGCTTTTTGGGAGTTGTTCTTGCTGCTTTGGTTTGGGGGCACACCCACTCGTGCCCAGGGCTGACTCCTGGCCCTGCGCTCAAGGTTCACTCCTGGCGGAGCGCAGGGAATGTATACGTGGTGCTGGGGATCAAACTGGGGGTCAACTGTGTGTCAGGCAAGTGCCTTGCCCCCTGTCCTGTCTCTCTGGCCTCCTTCTAACATCTTATGGGATCAACCTGTTGTTTGTTTGTTTGTTTGTTTGTTTGTTTGTTCTGGAGTCAAATCCAGCGGGGCTCAGGACTTACTCCTGGCTCTGTACTCAGGGATCACTCCTGGCACTTCTCGGAGGACCATATGGGATGCCGGGGACAGAACCCGGGTCAGTCACGTGCAAGGCCAGCACCCTACCTACTGTACTATCACTCTGGCTCCTGGGAACCGCTTTTCACTGGGGGCCCCTGCGGACCTCCCTGAAGTTGTGGCCTATTTTACACAGTTGTGGCTCCATGGGTCAGCCAGGAGTGGGGTGTGTGGGAGGGGGGATTCCTAGCTGGGGAACAAAGGCTTGAAAGTAGGGGTCTCTCGGGCAGACATCACTAGCTCCTGTGTCGCCCTATGAGCCTTGGAGGGGGCTTCTACCTGATCCTGTTTGTCCTTTAGTTTATTAATTAATTAATTTTTTGGCTTTTTGGGTCCCACCCGGCGATGCACAGGGGTTACTCCTGGCTCTGCACTCAGGAATCACTCCTGGCGGTGCTCGGGGGACCATATGGCATGCTGGGAATCGAACTCAGGTCGACTGCGTGCAAGGCAAATGCCCTACCCGCTGTGCTATCGCTTCAGCTCCCTGTTTGTCCTTTAAATGGCTGTTGGGGTGGGAAGCAGGCCTGACACCATGAGGGGACATTCTCAGCCTAAGGCCTCGTGTCCTGGAAGGACCTGGGTGATAAAACTATGTCCTGACAAGGTGCTGTGAGCACCTTTGCCCCAGAAGGTCTTTGTGACTGTCGGGGGGCACTTTATATCCAAACCCAGTTTCTCCTTGCCCATCTAGGACCCCTGGTCCTTCCCTCCTGGAAACTTGAAGGACAAGAGTCAGGGGCACCTGGAGGCTTATGAGGGGTGTGCCACAGAGATGGAGTGGGATGGGGGGAATGGGGGGGGTGAGAGGGATACTGGGATTAGTGATGGTGGAGAATGGGCACTGGTGGAGGGATGGGCACTCGATCATTGTATAACTGAAACCCAAGCACAAAAATTTGTAAGTCTACAACTGTACCTCATGGTGTTTTCAGTAATAAAAATTTAAAAAAAAAAAGAAAGAAAAGAAGAAAATCAGAACTGTCTACTTTGGAGAAACTGTCAAGAGGGCAGCGTTGCTATTCTGTTGTACTTTACCACAGTTACAAAAAAAAAAAAAGAGGAAGGGAGCAGGGTGCTGAGAATAGGGGATGAGTGGTGGGCTCAACCAGTGACGCGGCTGGCACGGCTCACAGATGCCTAATCGGAAAGTCACTCAGGAGGCCTGCCCTGGGTGTGGAGGTACCTGGGCCAGGTGTCTGTGTCGTGAGGGGGGCCTGAGTCAAAAGGTGGACGGTGACAGCTGGGCCACAAGGACCAGCAGCCTGGAGAGGGGGAAATGAAAGGCATCATCTCCCAGCAAAACCAGTGACAGAGACCTGATGATGCTTCTAGAAGCTTCCACCCCAGACCCCTGGATTTGTACGCCAAGAAAGGCTGTTGTAGTCCAACAAGGCCCAGAAGTCCAGGGTGGGTACTTGGAGGAGGATGGGGGTGGGGGCAGCTGGGAACAGTGGGAACCCCCCCGCCAGCCTCCACTGGGTTTGAGGCGGGGTCTACTGAGCTCATTGCCACCCCCCTCGCCCCTGCCCCCCAGCCCCCAGCCTCACCAGTGTGGGACTGAGACTCATGTAAACTCTCTTCCTCAGCCTCCTCTCGATGGCGGTCCCCTGAAAGAGAAGGTCGGAACAGCAGGCTGTGGGACTGTGGGTTCCAGCGGAGGGCGGTAAAGGAGGAATAGCGTGGACTCTTGATACTGTGGCCACAGACGCGTGTGGTGGTGGGCTTATACACCCAGAGGTAGCATGTGAACATGTGTGCAGGCATGCATAGCACACGCAGGAGTCTAAGCGTAAGGGAGCACGCCAAGTGCTCACTCCTCAGCTGGCGTCCCCCATACTGTCGAAGCAAAAGACGCCCCCCCCCCCCCCCACTAAAATGCCTGCAGCGCTGAGCTCATGGCCCGTGCCTCTCTCGAGGATCAAGGTGCTGACCAGCGCTCCGAGAGAGCCCTCTCAGACTCTTGGGGCTCCGTCCTGGCTGGAAGGAACCACCTGGAATCCTGCTCCTTGGTTTTCTGGGCTGGGCCGTGGGGAGGCGCCCCCACCCGCCCGCCACCCCGAGTCTCCAGCCAATGTTGCAATGGGGTGTTTGCTCTGGGACATGTGCCCTGTGCTTGGGCATGCCCTCTGTGCGACTCAGATGGGTGCTGAGCCTCCCTGAGCCCTCCTGGGGCACCCCCTCCGCCGGCCGCCTGCCCCCTCTGCCCTTACCCTCCTCGCGTCCCCAGGTGCTCATCAGTAGCACCTCCAGATCCAGCAGCAGGTTCAGCTCCATGCACAGGCAGTGGATGAATCCCTTCCAAGTGGCCGGGCCCTGGTGGTACAGCCGCCACAGCTGCAGAGAGACCCTCTGGGCAGGGTCCTCATCCTGGTCTACGGAGCCCGGCGCAGCACCGGGGATGAAGACCTGCACCTTGTCGTTTAGCCATTCTGAGTGTTCGCTGAGGCTGAGCAGCCGCACAATACGGTCCCACAGTTCCCTCGCGTCCAGTTGGAGGCTGCAGGCAAGGGATGGGCAGAGAACAGGGTGGGCAGGTGAGAAGGGCCAGGGAGGTGGGTGAGCCAGTGGGCAGTCAGGAATCTTCCAGACCAGGGGCCTCTCGATGGGGCCTCGGTGTCTCTGCCTGGTGGTGCTGGCCAGAGATGGACCTCCTGCACCCGACCTCACCGTCAGGGGCGCCTGTGTCTTGGCCCTGGAATGGTCCTGCTCATCCCTCTGCGGTCACGGTCACGGTCCTCCCGTTGTTCATCGATTTGCTCGAGCGGGCCCAGTAACGTCTCCTTCGTGAGACTTGTTGTTACTGTGTTTGGCATATTGAATACGTCACGGGTCGCTTGCCAGGCTTTGCCATGCGGGCGAGATACTCTCAGTGCTTGCCGGGCTCTCCGAGAGGGGCAGAGGAATCGAACTCGGGTTGGCCATGTTGGCTGTGTGCTAGGCAAACGCCCTACCTGCTGTGCTATTGCTCCAGCCCCATCCCTCTGCACGATGCTTTATTCATCCTTGTTTCTGGGGCCTGGGGGGTGCTGCTCTCAGAACTCTCTTCACGGCAGATGGTAGATTGTTCCCTCAAATCTGTGCCCCCTTTTCTCCTCTCACTAGAGCCTCTGGATAGGCCTGGTTCAGAGGGGCATCTGAGGCCCACTCTCCTTCCCATTTCCCCTTACAGTTAGGTGAGACCACGTCAATCAGTTTGGCCGAGGGGACGGAGGCCAACGTGTCCTACATCTTTCTTGGCTTCTTCCTGTTGGTTGGAAGGAGGGAATGATGGCTGGCACTGGGCAGCCGTCGCGGGTCAGGAGGTGAGCACACCATGCTGTCCAGGTGCCTGACTCTGACTCTGGACTTGGGTGACAGGATAAGGAATCTCAGGTTCTAATGTGCTAAACCACCTGGCCGGGGGCTTTCTGCTACTCGTGGAGAAGCTCAGTCCTGGCTAATGGAAAGCACGGCCTCTGTCTAAGCAAAAATTCCCCTTCTGGATGGGAATTCTCAAACCACCTGTGGTAGGAGCAACAGAAGGAAAGGCGGAGCATGGACAGGAGCAGCAGGTAAGAGGGCAGTTTGTTAGCTGTGGGGCAATGAGGGGTGCACCCAGCGGGAGAGGCAGAGGGCCAAGGAGTATGTGGGGGAGAGCAGTGAAGGGCTGGCTTCATGGGGGCGTGGGAGGAGTGAGGACTGTGTGGGGGAGGGGCAGTGAGGGCCGTGGGGGAGGGGCAGTGGGGACTGTGTGTGGGAGGGGCAGTGAGGGCTGTGGGGGAGGGGCAGTGAGGACTGTGTGGGGGAGGGGCAGTGAGGGCTGTGGGGGAGAGGCAGTGAGGGTTATGTGGGGGAGGGGCCCTGAGGGCTGTGGGGGAGGGGCAGTGAGGACTGTGGGGGAGGGGTCCTGAGGGCTGTGGGAGAGGGGCAGTGAGGGCCGTGGGGGAGGGGCAGTGAGGGCTAGGGGGATGGGTTGCCGTCCTTACTTGGCCTCCTGGCTCATCGTCGATGTCCAGGGTCACAGCGAGGGGCCTCCTGGAGTCCCTGCCCTGAGCTGGCCGCAGGCTGCTTCCATAGCGCAGGCCCTGGGGAGAGGCAAGACAATCCTCTAGGCCCTGCTTCACCGACCAGAGACCCCTCCGAGGCACAGACCCCACTGGCCTACCTCTGCTCCTTCGGCCCATTGACTCTGCCCAGCCCCACGCTCCATGTGCCCTTGCCACCCTCTCCCGGGAGGCACCCCACTTCTCCCTCCATTAGAATGTTCCCCAGAACGTGGTCTCAACGTGCCCTTCATGTGGAGCCTTTATGAGCTTTATGAGTGAAATCACCCATCCCATGACCACAGACACTTCCTATCCCAACAAAACGCTCCTGAGGTCAGGATTTGCTGTCTTCGTCCCTAAGTATATCATAAAGCTGCTTTTCAACCATCGAGAACGTTCTCCTTAATGTGATGACCCAGAGACCTGGGTCCTTGGGCATGAATGATGGACCAACATTTTGGCTCGCGATCAAACTAGCACGGTGGGACCCACGAGGGGCACAAGGTGGCTGAAGGCCCGCGAGGAAAGGCCAAAGCTTCGTGCAGCACATGGGCTGTCTCCAGGGGGAGATCCTGGCCCAAGTGTTGGGCCGGAGGGAATTGGCCTAACACGCAGGTGCTGTGCTGGGGGGTGGGGAGAGAGCCAGGCCTGGGGGAAGGTCCTGGGTGCCATCCCCTCGGCAGAGCTGCAGTGGGGAGGCCACACAGGCTTGAAAGGCGGCGCGTGGGAGGAGGCCCCGAATCCTCCCCAGACGTGGGTCCCAGGCTGAGCATCCAACAGCCAAGCCCGGAACTGCCCAGGCAAGGGTCCCCGGGAGGGAGCCCTGGGGAGCACTGCTTGGGGACCCCTCCCCAAACAAAACAGAACAAAAAGATGAAACAAAACTGTCCGCTTCGATTACAGGAAACGCAGAGGTGGAGCAAGTCCCAGCGAAGCCCAGGCCAGGCTGATGGCTGCTCCTGCCCAGGGTGCGGGAGGGGGTGGGGGAGGGCCCTGAGCAGCCCTGATTCTCCTCTTCCCTCCTCTCCCCTCCCCTCCTTTCCTCTTCCCTCCTCTCCTCTCCCTTTCCCTCCTCTACACTCTCTTCTCTCCTGTCCTCTCCTCCCCTCCCCTCCCCTCTTCTCCTCTCCTCCCCGCACCCCTCCTCTCTCACCTGTCCCTGCCTGTTTCCTTGTTTCCTTCCTGTGGCCTCCGGGTCTACGGGCCACGCCCAGTGAGGTGATTTTCACCCTTGGGTGATGCTGAGGGCGCACAGAGGCCCCCCTAGAGCCTGGGGGAGACCCGCTGTGTGAGCCACCCAGGCGACGGCGTCCTAGGAGACAACCGGAATTGATACAGACAGAGCCCCTTGACCACGGGGAGTGAAAAGGGAAGCTCCTCCATTGAGACGAAGATGGGAGGGGCCAGGATGTGGTCACTGTAGCTGGGCGGTGTGTGGCACCACCCCCTGCTCCTCAGCAGGCCCTGCTTCTTGAGTTCGAGGTTCCTGCCAGGTCCCCCGCCCCCACTAGTGAAAGGCACCCTGGGCTTCAAGAGCTCAGCCAGTGCGGCTTATGCTGGTCAAGGTCACCCCTCCCGTCCTGATGCTGGCCCCTCGTCCACCAGTGTGCACTGGATTCTGGATTCTGGATTCCTGGGACAGGAGACCCAGTGCCCGCTCTTCTGCCCACCCAGTGAGGCTACCTCCGGTCTCTCCACCTCTTGGGGTCTTTCTACCTCATCTCAAGACAGGGACTGTGCTCCAGGCTTGCATTGTTCCAATGTTGTGCGTGTGTGTGTGTCTGTGTGTGTGTCTGTGTGTGTGTGCGCGCGCGCATGCGTGTTTCCAGGGATTGAACCCACGGTTCCAGACCTGTAAGGCAGCCACCTCACCACGGAGCCCCATTCCTGGCTGCCAACACTTATCAAACAGATCAAACTTGGCCATTTAAAATAGTTTCAATTCATTTTCTACTTTTGTGTGTATGGGATGCTGCTTTCAAACAGTGCTCAGGAGGCCCCCGGAAGTTGTGGTTCAGGGTGAGCCCCGCGAATGCAGTGCTGCTCAGACCATGAGGTGCCAGGAATTGCCTGGGTCACCCCAGCGTGCTCAGGGACCCTGTGTGGTGCTGGGGATCAAACCAGGACTGGCTGTGTGCAAGGCACTTTAGTCTCCGCCCTCTCTCTCGGGCCCTTGTTTTAACTAACTTTTGGCAATTTATGCTTCTTGAGAAAATGATTCACTTTATCAAGAATGTTCTAACTTCATACAGGACCTAACTGTATTTTCTCTCCCTTCCTTCCTTCCTTCCTTCCTTCCTTCCTTCCTTCCTTCCTTCCTTCCTTCCTTCCTTCCTTTTTTGGAGGGGGAGAATCACACCCAGTGATGCTCAGAGGCTTACTCCTGCCTCTACATTCAGGAATTATTCCTGGCAGTGCCTGGGGGAGCTCTGAGCATCCTTGGGTGTGCCTCTCCCCCTTAAAGAAAGGGAAACAGAAGGGGCTGAAGTGATAGCATAGTGGGTAGGACGTTTGCCTTGCAAGCGGCCAACTGGGGTTCGATTCCCAGCATCCCATATGGTCCCCTGAGCCCCTCCAGGAGTAATTCCTGAGTGCAAAGCCAGGAGTAACTCCTACGCATTGCCGGGTGTGATCCAAAAAAGCCAAAAAAAAAAAAAAAAAAGAAAAAGGGAAATAGAGGCCAGAGAGATCTCACAGAGCTTAAGGCGCCTGCTCTGCATGCAAGTGGGCCTGGTTTAAGTTTGAGTTTTAGCACCACCACATACGGACTCCAGACCCCTGCCAGGAGGGAAGCCTGACCCCACCAGGAGTGAGTCAGGACCACCCCTGTGGTGGTTCTTTTCCCCCTTACAAAGGGAATGGAAAGGCAAACAGGAAGCATGTGCAGCAGAGAAAAGGTGAAAAGATGCTCAGTTCATAGGAAATAAAAGAAACGCTAGAACTATCGAAGATACAGCAGCACGCCTCTCATGCAAGGCCCCCACAGAGCCGAGAACAGGAAAGCGGCTGACGGCTGACGCATGGCTCTCGAGGGTGTAAACAGAACCGCCTTTATCTACCCAAATTGCAAACATCAGAGAACCAGGCCAGGCAATTCTGCGTGGAGTATTTGCCTGTGGGATAGGTTCTTACCCTTATCTTTCTTTGTTTGGGGGCCACACCTGGCAGTGCTCAGGGCTTACTCCAGGCTCTGTGCTCAGATCGTTCTTGACACGGCTCGGAGGACTATCTGGGGTGCTGGGGATTGAGCCTGAGTCAGCCACATGCAAAGTTGACTCCCCCCCCCCGCCCCGGCCCGCACTGTACTTCCTCTCCACCCCAGTTCTTACTGTTTTATAGAAAACAAGAGAGAAGGAGCGGCTGCCCTAGAACAGAGGAAAGGCAGGCAGGCAGCCACCGCGCCCGTCCTGTTTGCATGTCGGCCTAGACCTCTGGCCTTCAGTCCAACGTCTTCCCTCTGACGATTCCCAGTGCAAACCCGGGTGGGGTGACCAAACTCGGGGTTCACAGGGAGACAATGAAAGGCCACACAGAAGCCTAGACCTGGAGACTCATGTCCAGTGCTCTTGCCACCCCAGGGACAGGGAGGAGACAAAGCAGGGGTCCGCCTGGAGGTCTTGCCAGATCTCTGGTCTCATGCAAGGGGCGGCCTGGCCTCAGTTTCACCACGCGAGGCCCTGCTGTGAGCCTTCTTGCGGGGCTCCTGGGCGTCTCTTCTGCCACCCGGGAGATCTGGGAGGTGCGACTAGAGTGGTCAGAGGGTGTGTGCACTAGGCGAGGTCAGGACCAGAGCCTGCCCATCTCCAGCACTCATTGGGCACACACAGCCACTCACACACATGCATACACACACACACACACTCATACATGCACACACACACTCATACATGCACACACACACTAGTGCACATGCACACACACGGACACAACTGCACGTACACACATGCACACACAGACACATAAGCACAACACACCCACTCACACATGCGTGTACACATGCACACACATGTGCATACATAAGCCTGCTCACACATGATCATACATGTACATGCATACACATGCACCCCTGTGCACATGTACATACATGCACACACTAGTGCCATGTACACACATATACACACATGCATACACTCTCGCATACACATGCACGCATACACACAATACACTCAAGGCACACATGCCTGCTCACACGAACACATATGCATATGCACACGTACCCGCTCACACACATGCTCACATGCACACACACAAACACACATCTTTACATACACACACACCTGCACATGCAAGCACACACAACTGCACAAGCACACACACACTCACACACATGCACGTACATGCCGCCTACTCACACACATGCTCACACACACATGCTCACAGAGATGCACACACGTGAATATACACATACACCTGTATACACATGCATTCATGGGAGACACACACATGAGCTTGTGTCCTGTTCTCTGCCCAGTGTCCACCCGCAAACCCAGCTCTGCTCTGGCCTCCTGTCTAACTTCCTCTTGTGTCCCCACTATGACCCAAGAGATCACACCACATTTTCGAATCCTACCAGGCTGCGGCGCAAGGGTCTCTGGGATGGGGTCAAAGGATGGATGAATAAACAACACGTCCCTGATTCCCGGTTCCTGGTCCCACACCTGCAGCCCCACCCTTTAGGCCTGCACCTGGCCACCTACTCTCAGGAGTCCCTGTCGTGACGCTACCTTTTACCTCAGTGCCCTTCCCTTTGTCCAGCCTTGCAAACCACACCTTGGGACCCAGCCCACTCCTGCCACCTTCTCCGGGAAGCCTTCCTGGCTGCCTGATCCTGTCAAGCCCCCTAAAGGTGCTTCAGTCTTTCTTAGCTTTCTCCTCTGCAGCAGGCTTTGCTATTTCACGGTCATTCCTCTTGGTCACCAGCTTCCCTCAGGGTACACGGACAGCGCTCACCAGCAGT